GAGCAAGACAGGAGGAGAGAGAAAGTAGGGGGAGTCTGAGCTGGGGAGTGATTTGACCCTGACGGCTAATAGAGCTGATATTTAGTTTGTTGATGGCTGTGTTTCATTTGTAAGAAAACAAACACTGAAATGTATATTGTATTACATTAGGATGGATGCATACATACAAGCCTAAATGGTGACGGTATGATTGACTGTGATACATGGTGTCCAGTGGCAGAGAGACAGACCCGTTTATAATGATGTCATTAAATAGAAATGATGGCAGTGCTCATATGCGGCTAATTTCTGCACAATCCAGACTAATCCCTTTTAATTTGGGACATTTCATGTGGTCAAAATATTACAGATGTTATTTCCTAAAGTGGTAAAGATGAGCGCAGTTTGTTGAATATCCCGACCACTCTGGTTGTATCTGGCAAATGTCCACAATTTAACACACACACACACACACACAGAAGATATCTGTATCTGGTTGTAGTCTGCCAGGTCAAGAGTTTATACCCCATACGCTGTTGTACAATTATAAAGTTTGATCTGAAAAGTAACTAAAGCTGTCAGACAAATAGTAGTGGGGTAAAAGTAGAAAATTGCATGATATGGAAATAGTCAAGTAAAGTACAGGTAACTTGAATTTGTACCTGAGTACTTGAGTAAATGTACTTAGTTACATCTTCTCAGAACTCTTACTCTTATATGCTCTAAACACTTTCTTTCTTCTGCCTCCTAATTTATGATGTTTATGACTTTTTGTTTTCTGTATTTATATATTTTTTAAAGTGTCACACTCTACATACCTTATCAGTCTGTGCTTCTTATGTTTTTCCAGTATAGCCTATTAACTCTGACTCTAACATCATCTGCAAACACCAGCTGCGCCAAAATGTCGTTTCGCTTTGCAAATGGAAAAGCATTCAAGGAAATGTGTTGCAGCGTATTTATAACAAAGTACATTAGAAGAAGTGGTGCTTTGGGTATTATTTACTGTCAGGCTTAGCTATGGTTAAACAATTGTTTTAACACTAGGAGGGCTTCTATACAAAAGCACTTCATGTGCTATTCTTTCCTCTGTTAAGTGAAGCGCTCTTCTCTCTCTAAACTGTCTCTTTAAAAATGTTGACATGAAGCGTTGTGCTCAGGCAATGATCCAACTGTCAAAATAAACCTGTTTGGTTGATCAGATTTATTCTATTTGGCCCTCAATTCAGAACTTACACTGATGTCTGTCAGAGCATCCAAAGCCTGTTTCAGCTTCTCAATGGGAACTCCATAATACCACCTATATGTGCCTTGGGACCTGTGCTGCTCATTGCATGTTAGGGACACACGGACTTGGTGTGTTTGTGTGTCAGAGCAGATAACAATCTTGGGCAGGGAGGCGCCTGCAGGGCAGTGGTCTCTCTCTGCTTTCCTCAAGGCTAAATACAGGAAATGAGCGCTAGGAAGCGAGCCAGATTGACTCAGCTGAGTTTGCATGAGCGACAATTGCAGCCTTGGAGGTTCTGGCCTCTTCTGCATGCACTTTGTTTGCTCAAGAAGTCCTCCGGGGAACCGCTCTAAAGATTCAATGGCACTCCCTTCCTCCTCACTCAGATCAAAGCGTAATCACATAACCTACCTGCTCCCCACCCCACCCCACCCCAATTCATTTATCCAATCACCCAACAATCAAAGGGTGGCTTAAATCATAAAAAGAAGGATGCATGCAAGCTACGGTCAGCTTCTGCTTATCTTTATTGAAGAAAGGTTCTCTGTCTGGCCTCCATGGCACAAAGTCATATTACACAGAGTAAATTAAGTTTTAGCTTAGTTTAAGAACATTCAGGTTCACACTCTCCATGGAGGGATTAATGAAAGGAAATGAATCATAAACTCAATTAATAAATTATTATTATGTCAACATGTCTCTTTGGTGACTTCATGACCTGGTCGTATGGCGTCGTGTTGACTGTGTCTCCGCGACACTGTCACCAAGTGCTGCAATCAGGAGGGAGAATTAATCCTCTGCTGCCAGTGCAAGCTGTATTTATGTTTGTGTAGAGGTACTTGTAAACTCGGTAAATTCCTTGCACAGTTGGTGCCGGCTGTTAGCATTCCTTGAGAAAGAGAGAGAGAGAGAGAGAGAGAGAGAGAGAGAGAGAGAGAGAGAAGGGGGGGAGAGGAAGGGGGAGTGTGTGAATTTGAGGAGAGTCAAGTTGTTTCACAACAAATGGTCAAGTGAAGCCAATTACCTTAGCATCAGATGTCAGAGCACAATCTCTGTTTAGGACCATCAAAGAACAGCTGCCATGTCAGATGATGGGGAGATATTAAAATAGCAGGTTAACTATCTGACAATTGTAACTGTCTAATGTTATCTGATCCAGTCCGGCTTTTACAGGCTGTTAAAACTGCTAACAATCTCTCTTTATCCTTTACGGCGACAGCCTTTATGCAGCGATTAGACTACATTACATTACAGTCATTTGGCAGACGCTTTTATCCAAAGCAACTTACAATAACTGTATTCAACATCGGTATTCAAGAGAACTACTAGTCACCAGAAGTCAAGTGCATCTCCTTTTTTAAACAAGCATCTAAGAGTATAAACCAGAGCAAAAGTACAGCGCAGAAACAAACTAATATGAATACAATAAGTGCAACAAACTAATATGAATACAATAGGTGCAACAAACTAATATGAATACAATAGGTGCTAAGTGGAAGGCTCGGGGTAGTACTTCTTGAAGAGGTGAGTTTTCAGCCTGCGCCGAAAGATGGGCAGCGACTCTGCTGTCCTGAGGTCAGTGGGGAGTTCATTCCACCATTGTGGGGCCAGGACAGAAAACAGCCGTGATCGGGTCGATCGGCCGCAGGGACCTCTGAGCGACGGGGCGACCAATCGCCCCGAGGCAGCAGAGCCAAGTGGTCGGGCGGGGGTGTAGGGCTTGAGCATGGTCTGGAGATAGGAAGGAGCTGTTCCTTTCACTGCCCTGTAGGCTAGCACCAGAGTCTTAAACTGGATGCGAGCTGTTACAGGGAGCCAGTGTAGAGAACGGAGAAGGGAAGTTGTGTGGGAGAACTAAGACCTATCAATGTTAGATATCTAGATAGCTCCACAATTAGTCTGTAAACCAGACCTGGAAACAGGCATAAGCAGGTTTTTTTTGCCAGTGGATAAGAAAATATCTTTGGAAATTTCACCCAGGCTGGCACACAATGATTCCTCACACCGCCTTGCTTCTCACAACAAAGTATTATCAGTGTAGCATATTCTTAGGTAATTTAGGAAAGTTAAAGGGACGTTTATACTTTATTTTTGGGATGACACATTTTCATGAAAAGGTTTCCATGTTCTCTGCCCATGAAGTTGTGGATGAAAGAAAATCCAGACTGTCCATTTCCTTTCATTTTTGACATTTCCAGCAGACACGGGAGGCGTTTGTTAAGTTTACTCATTCACAATTATAGCACAGTGCAGTCTGTTAGGATTTGTTCGGATGAAGATAGAAACATATTTTATCCGCTTAAAGACACTCATGTATTGCATCTCGTGGAAGCACCAAACAGCAGAAGACTTTTATCTTGTCTGTACCATTTGACTCGCCACTGCTCCACTGATTAACCAGCCAACAGATGGAAAACTCTGTAGCTGTCGGCTCAGTCGAGCTGAGGAGTGAGAAGTTTCTCATCCCTTTGTTCTTTTTGAAGGTTATGGTCCAACAGCTCTGTTTGGTTTTCCTTTTTGTCCTCCACTTCCTGCTGCTGTTTCTGCTTAGTGTGTTTGTCTGACATGATTAGTGATGGACTGAGCTGGACTTTGGTGCTAGAGTTGGAACTTAAGTCCAAACTTAAAGCTTATTTTGTTGTGTTGCCCATTCCTAAGAATGCAGACATACACACACTATCTGTGTCTTTTTTTAAACCCCAGTTGAAATTGGGTCTTCTCTGTATATTTCATATTGCTCTGTTTGTTTTGGGCAGGCTTTGGAAGAGGCCCAGATCGCCATCCAGCAGCTCTTTGGCAAAATCAAAGACATCAAGGACAAGGCAGAGAAGTCTGAACAAATGGTATGTACACACACACACACACACACACACACACACACACACACACACACAAAGCTGGCCTGTTAAAGCATATAAGGGACATGATCCATGACCCTAGCACAGGGTAGATACACCCTATATCCTTCCGTTACAATAGAGGACAGTGGGAGGAGTTATTTATAGTTGAGGTAATGCACCTTCCATGTGTGTGTGTGTGTGCGTGTGTGTCAGAGGAAGGCTAGTGGGCTGAGTGCGTAAAGAAAGGACGAGGGGGAGATTGGCAAGCAGACCCTCCCTCAGGAGGCATGTAGGAGCAATGATTTCCCAAACCAATGGGTGTGTCGTTCATCTGGCTCTGTTTCTCTTTGTTCCATCACTCGATCCAGTGAATCACCTACATTTGTTCACCTTCTCCTGCTTCTTCTTTTCCCATCTCTGCACTTTTATCTTCTCCTGTCTTCATGCGATTTGCGACCAACCAGTCTGACTTGTTCCTCTTCCTGCACAGGTCAAGGAGATTACAAGGGACATAAAGCAGCTGGACCATGCCAAGCGCCACCTAACTACATCCATCACCACCCTCAACCACTTGCACATGTTGGCAGGGGGTGTTGACTCTTTAGAGTGGGTACAATCACATTTCACGATTCACCCTAAAACTTATTCGACCATAATAGAGTATTTGGGGTTGTTGAGTGTCTCTGTAGTTGTGACATGCCCTCTCTGTTTTAGGAAAAAGGATTAGTTGCTGCCAGTACAAAGCAGGTCTGGTATCAAACCTCATAAAACCCCGAAACCACAGGCTGAAGGATGAGTTTTACTGCAGTCCAATCTGTTTTCAGCAATGTCGACAATTTCCCAAAACCTTGGGGTTAAAGCAGCTAACATATATTGATGAAAGATCTGATTTAACTGCAAAACAAGAAGAAAATCCCATAAAATGTCAGGTGGAAAGAACATCACACTGTCCAGTCCCCACAAAAGGGCTTAATCATTTTAATCTCTAGTATCCATATTCTGTATTCTGTATGCAAAGCCATGCTGGATTTTTCTCACCTTCAGCTGATGTTATGAATGAATTTACACTTGTGCGAGATATACAGCTAGGTTGATGCTTGACTTATTTATTTACATAGCTGTGTGGTGTAACCACTTTACAATTCTAGCGTAGAGGATATAAACATAGATATTTTCTTTATATAATAATAGAAACAAATCACATGTTGTGTTCTGTTCCAGAGCCATGACCAGAAAAAGGCAGTATGGTGAGGTGGCCAACCTGCTGCAGGGAGTGGTCAACGTGCTTGAACATTTCCACAAGTACATGGGCATACCCCAGATCAGACAGCTTTCTGAGAGGTAACTAACACGCGCACACACACACACACACACACACACACACACACACACACACACACACACACACACACACATACTGTATGTGCTTACATTAAGTTATTTCTTCACGTATTTTACTCAGCTTCACTTTCTCTGAGTGTAGCATAGCTGTAAGAACCGCTCATTTCCAGTAGCCAGTTCAAAGCTCGATCTCTGCTTACAGCTGAAATATTCCATAGCTCATCCGCTGAACTTGGCTGGAGGTATTTTGTGTATTACATCCTGTTTATGCAGATATTCACAAGCATGCACGCACAACCCCACACATACAGGAACTCACAGGAAGGAAACGCTGAATAGGGTCTTATTATGCCAGAATTTCTTTCATTGTGAGAGATTAGGGGCATAATTATTTGAGGATTTGTGTGTGTCTCCATATGTAGGTGTGTACGTGTGTGTGTGTTTGTATAAAACACATTTAATACATTATGAAACAGAACAAAGTGCATTGTTACAGTGTTGTTTCCCACAGTCCTGACTGATTAAATTTCCATTTTCATATTACTTTCCAAGAACATTGGAATCAATTTGGGACACATTGTCCAAGCTGATATTCAAGTTCAAAGTAGTGCTGATCCCCAAAAACAAAAAAAGGATGACCATCTGTTCTGTTGTGACTGAGGTGTGGCAGACTGTGTTCATACCGAACAACAGCTGTGTAGAAGAAGATACACTGCTGGAGAAACAGATGATAGGAGAGACGGGGGGGGGGGGCAGACAGACAGACAGACAGCTGGACACAAACAGTTAATAGAAAGTAAGTAGAAAAACCTCTCTGACAAACAAGGGCAGGCTGGATATAGAGGCAGACTGTTGGATCAGATGGTGAGTTCACAGAATTACAGCCAGGAGGAAAAGTAACACCGGCGAGTATTGTTACCTACTGTATATAATCAAACCATTTCTGTATATTTAATGAGAGCAAGACAATAAAAGACACGTTTCTATTACATTCTGAATTCATACATGAAACAAAAGAGTACACTTACTTTCAATCAGTAAGATTTCTTGTAAAATTATGTAAAACCAAAATTGAGTGGGAAGGTAGAATAATTTAGGTGGAATATTTCTGTCAATGAAATTAACTAATTTTAAAACTGAACAGGAATAAACATGAAATACTTGTTTTAATTTGTATGTCGGCTCAAACAAAAGTATTAAAGAAAATAATTTGTCATTCTGAAAAATACGAGTTTTTGTTGTAAAAACTATACGGGAATTTTCCAGCTCAAAAAAGGCACGGTTCAGTTTTAAACAAATGTTAAATTCCACAGGGTTACAGTCTAAATGCATATTAGAGCCTTGATCTGACATTTTCCATATTCCTTCATTAATTCTGTGAAAGAAATTGGCCTTTTGTCCCGACAGTACTTTGAACCGTGACTAAACGGAGTCAGTGCAGCAGGATCAACTCAGATTATTCTTTAATAAGCCTTTTTTCTTTTCATCGCTCGATGCTTTCCTCACTGTCTGAACTACACGGTCACTGTCACGGTTCAGCTGACGGGCAGACAACATCTTTGGCTTTGTTGCACTATTGTATACTATGTGTAAACGCATACAAACAAAAAGCAGCCACAGACTGGACACAGTCAGGCCGGCTGCTGACAGCTTGCTCTCTGTGACATCAGCTTATCAGAGTGTGAGGCGCATCTTAAACAGGAGCTGGAGAGTCTCATACTCAGTAGCTGGCTAGACACATGTGGGTACTTGAGTCGATAGCCGACAGCGAGCACTTGAAATGAAGGCTCGCAGTTCAGTTGCCATCCGTCTGTGATATTATCTCCCCTGTTTATTCTGGACGATTGTCATTGCTCTGGGTTGCTGTCCTCGGTTAACCCGGCCTGGATGAACACAGAATCGCTGGACAGGACTCAGATTGTCTAAGTAGCCCTCATTATATTTCCATTTCTCCACCATTCTTGTAGTTTTCCAAATATTTTAAAGTAGCGATTTTATGTGGGTGATGTGACACTTCAAAAACATTTTTGGTCTTGAGGTAAATAGCGCCTTTCTCTGCAGTTCTTTGGAGAATCATTAAACTAGCCATAAAAGGTTTTTTATATATTGGAAGCTTCCGACATGAAATTGCCACCATTCCAATATGACATTTGACTGAGAAACCACTGAATCATTTCGTGTCATTGTTTTCTGTCCATTCCAGAGTGAAGGCAGCTCAGAGTGAGTTGGGGACTCAGATCCTGGCAGATTTTGAAGAATCTTTCCCCTCTCAAGGCTCCAAGGTAAATATGTTGTATGGGAATCTGGATTTTCAGATTTGTTAAGTTTCCATTTTATTTCTGGACACATTACTTCCATTGATCTCCATTTAGATAATGTTCTTGTCTTGTCCCCCCCCCCCGTACAAAACTTTACGTCATCCATCCAGAGACCAGGTGGTCCCAGTAACGTGCTGAGAGATGCCTGTCTGGTGGCCAATGTGCTGGATCTGCGCATTAAACAGGAGATTATCAAAAAGTTCATCAGGCAACACCTCTCAGAGTACCTGGTATTATTCCAAGAAAACCAAGATGTGAGTAAGAATTTTACTTTTAATAATATAAATGATTGAAAAAAAGGTGGTATTTAGGTATTAATGAAATGATATCGTACCCTGTTGCTCAGGTTGCATGGCTCGACAAGATTGATCGCCGCTACGCCTGGATCAAACGGCAGCTGGTGGACTATGAGGAGAAGTATGGACGCATGTTTCCTGAGGAGTGGTGCATGACGGAGCGTGTTGCTGTGGAGTTCTGCCACATCACCAGGTAAATACACACTCTGACACAGAGTATGAAAACCCATCGAGGAACAAGCGTCGCAATTTAAGTGATCTTAGACTATGAATCTTTGGGGTTTGTGGCTTTAGCCTATTTAATGACTATTTTATACTGTTTCTCTGTCCCCAAGAAAAGAAAAAAGAAAAAAGAAAATTAAGTTAAAATCTAATTACAAAGGCAGGAATTGAGAAATAGGTTGTGAGACTTCTCTGCATTATGGAGTGAACCACACTGGTATCGCGTGCCTGACTTGGAGTCTGTGATTTGGCTTCTCGTACAGTTGAAGAAGGTGGCCTACATGAGCAGTGACCTAGTGCACACACTTCTCAGTCTTTTCCCCACAACTACACGAGGGAAGAAGGAGAGTGGGCATTGTTTGTGCGTTACTCCCAGCTGCAGCTGACAACAACAAAACATCTGGCAAAAATTGTCGTTGTGTTGTTAGAAAACAGACGTGTTTTTGCTAAAAGGACAAATGAAAAGATTGTGTACTAACAAGGATCATTGGACACATTTTGGGTTGTCTGAGCATAGAAGTCAAACTGATGATATGTCCAATTTCATTCCATGTGTGTTTCTAAGGGTGGAGCTGGCCAAAGTGATGCGGACACGCGCTAAGGAGATCGAAGTGAAGCTGCTTCTGTTTGCTATTCAGAGGACTACGAACTTCGAGGGTCTTCTGGCCAAACGTTTCACAGGATGCACCTTGACGGACATACCTGGAGTGAGAAAATGACACAGAAAAACTTTGCATACAGGTCTATTCATAATCAACTACAGCTGGAAACTTTTGGGTTTGTTTTAGCAGAATGGTAGCATGCAGATTTTACCCCATTAAGGCAAAATATTTCATCGAGGTTGCTGGTTTTGCAGATCCGTAGCTTGTTGTGTTCTACACTCACACACACAAAGAGTACTCTCTTTGTCACAGCTTGAAGAAACCTTTTAATCCAGGTCAAGTTGGCGTGTGGAGGTAAAAGCGATGCAAAGAGAATGGACGGATTATGATTATTTTGTCGGGGGACATCTAGGCCAAGCTTGTTCAGAACTGATAATATTTGGGATAGTCAGAGGCCCTTTTGTCCTCAGTTCAGTTCACACCCATGCCTGTTTGGTTCTGTAATTCAATCAGGGATTTGGTTGGGTGGAATTTTATAATTGGAGGTACAGTTTCACCAAAGCCTCCCATGAAAATGGTCTCCGTAAACATGGAAGCAAATGATGAAACCTGGATTGTATTTAAAAGAGTTTGTGATAATTACAGAAACAGTTCTGTGCGTTAAGAGTATTCACAGCATGGACTGCCTTAGTGGCAGTAAAACCCTTAATGCTGCTCTTAATAATTGAGCAATAGAAAAAAATACTAAAATTTTATCTGTGCTTTTATAGCAGAAAAAGCCAGAGAGCCCTCTCGAGTCTACTAACCCCTTCCTGGAGGACGAGGGAGGTGAGGATGTGGGCGCAGATAAGGACGAGGATCTGGCTAAGGTGAGTTGGCCTCGAAGGACCCCATCGGACCTGTTGTGGCATTCTCTGATGCGGAGCTTTCTTTAGGCAGCTATGAATGTTTTTTTGTTGTGCTCCTCATAAAGGGAATATGAGTAGAACAGTGGTGTAGCAGCCATATTTAAGTATTCTACCATGTTCTACCTCAAGTTACTACCATGTGCCTATGAGGCAGTAGTTTGAACACAAGAATACTATCGTGGCTGAAGGATGTTGGGTACACCAAAGGTGAAACTACACTCTAATATAACTGAGGTTAAGAAATACTTCTCATTATAACACAACACCGTTCAACATAACCACAAACTACAGCCTCTGAAAGGATCATTAGGTTAAATCCACACCTCTTTAAAATAGTATCAACAAAAAAATGACCATTATAGCCTTTATTCAGAGTTAGGTAGCTAAGCGTACTTTATGCATAGGAAGTACATTGCTTCAGTTTCTAACATGTGACACCACCTTATCCTTGAAAACTGTGTTTGGAGGCAAAATATAAAGTCACTGATCAGGAGCTGAACCTCAATCCTGTTTTTTCACGAACTCCTTCTCCTCATTCTTTTTAGCCAAGGAAGCCAAAAGCTCCGGACAACCCTTTCCATGGCATTGTCTCGAAGTGCTTTGAACCTCATCTCTACGTCTACATAGAATCCCAAGACAAGTGAGCAACACGCACTCATACAAGCCCACCGGGCCAAATTGGGTTGTGGTACACGCAGCCAGGATCAGGAGCAGGTTGTGTTTAAAGCTGGCACTTGCCTCCTTTTTCCATTGTCCACTCATCAATCATCTTTCCATCTCTTGTTGCTGTACATGCCTCTGTCTCCACTGTGGCAGAAATGTTTCCCATTAGCTACACGACCACAGACGCTGGGAGAAAGAAAGAGAGAGGGAGGTTGAATAAGTGCTACCACAGCAGATCTGCCTATTTTCCTTCCCACCTCTTTATTTTAATTCCTTTTTGGTACCCCTCTTTTTTTTCTGTGTAATCTTTGTTTCATTCTTTCTTTCTTCATCTCAATCCCTCTAAATATATTTCTTTCGTATTTCTCTCCCTATTTTTTACAGTCTTTTTCTGTTTTCTTCCCGCCTCCCCTTCCTCTGTCTTCTACCACCATCCTTCACTTCTCCTCCATCAGTCCCCTTCCCCAGTCATGCTGATCGCTCCTCATACTGAGCACACCTCTGGGACTGCTGTGCTTGCATGCAGCTCCTGGCTCTCTGGACTGTTAAATGCCGTTTGTCTCTCCGAGGGGACAGGATTGACCTATTCCGCAGCTACAACCTCATTTCTATCCAAAAGCCTTAAACAGACAACAGCCAGATCAGCCTGTTCCCAGTGGGACATAGCAGGAGAGAACAGTGGCCTGCTTGTTTTGTCCTTGGCTTTAGTTCCAAGATTCAGTAGGATTGGACCGGACCTGTTGACTGTAGTACTGAGGATTTTGATATGCTTGGAATATTTTCTCCTATTTATCCATGCGACACTCTGTCTCTCTGCTTGTTATTTTATCCTTTTATTTATTCTTTGGGGTTTAGGAACCAATCACATGTTTTTAATGTTTATATTTGATTCATGTAATTCCTTTCATGTGCCTCTAATCCAAACCACCCGCGTGCGCATGTGTTTTTGAACCTATGTGGGTTTGGTTGTACATTTTCGGGCATCTGCAGGAACCTGGGCGAACTGATTGACCGGTTTGTGGCTGACTTCAGAGCTCAAGGTCCGCCCAAGGCAGGCACAGAGGAGGGCGGAGCAGTGCTGCCCAGCTGCGCTGACCTGTTTGTCTATTACAAGAAGTGCATGGTGCAGTGTTCCCAACTGAGCACCGGAGAGCCAATGATCGCCCTCACAACCATCTTCCAGAAATTCCTGAGAGAGTACGCTTGGAAGATCCTCTCTGGCAACCTGCCCAAGTAAGAATGGTTCAGGTTTGGTCATTAAAAAAAGTCCTATATTTGAATTGTCCTTTGTCATGTATGTGAGGTTACAGTCTTAACACGGAGCGAGGGATACTCGTGGTTTTCCGTGCGTACACTTTGTCCCATAGTAGAATTAAAACAAAGAGAGATTCAATGTAGCAACAGAAGGTCAGTCTGAGCATGACATTGTTGCAAGGTGCTGAATAGACGACAATAACGGTACCTTTTACTGACATTCCTAAAGCAACCAGCTTCAATATGAAGACACGTCCAGAGTGACTTCAACGCTCTATGCTTTGGCAGTTGCTGAAGCCAATATGAAAGAATTGTTTTGTTCTGTAATGGTCAGTAGATGCTGGCTCTAAGACAGTCTGACTGATTTGAATTGACAAGGAAAAGCCTAATTTTCTGTAATTTTTCTTCTTTTCAACGATTAACACTAACAGGCATAAGCCAACAATGGCTTACTCATACTAACAAGTATTGCCTGTGTATTTCTCTGTGGCATAGATCTCCATTACTTTCCAAAAACTATTCAAAACACAGCATTCATCAATCACACATACACCATCATGCTGACAAGAACACTCACTAGTACTTCAACTGTTTCCATCCATGAGAATCATTACATTTAATGGGCGGTAACACTAACAGAGATTTAATTAGGATTCATTTTTCATAAACAAGTAAGTCATGCCCATATTTGTTCATTATTTTGGTATGGTGATGGAGCCGTTTAGGAGTTTAGTTTAAAAACGTAATGTCTACAGTCCTCGCTGTGTTTGATGGATTGGAATGGCACGCTCTGAGGGATCTGGATTTGGTTATGTTGTGGTAAAGCCTAATATACTACCAGTAAAAACATATCTGGCTCAGTGGCAACATCAGAAATCATCACTGGCTATGGTGAACACAAACACACAGGTGTGCTCTGTTTCTGTTTCTCATGCACGCTAATTACACTCTTGCTCTCGCTGACTAATGTATGTCATACTCTGAGCTGTATGCAAACACGATACTGAGATGCACTCAAAGGCTTTGCAGGAGCGTACACTTGCAGACGCGGTCGTCCAATGTGGTGTGCTATGAATTGGTTTTGCGAGGTTTGGAGAGAGGCCCTTGAAAGGAGCTTGGACTATGTTGTGGTTTTCCCCACGTCTCCGTTATGACGTTTATTAATGACTGGGCCGCTGCTGAAGCCTCGTCCGTGCAGCATCCGGACACTTGCGTCTGCTCGTAATTATGCCTGTTGTGCCTCGGTTATTACTTCTTTACATGCGGTCACTCAAAGAGTTTTTCTTAAAGCGCAGTCGGCAAAGAAGGTCCACATCAGCCAGTTTTAGGAAAAGCAATACACAGCATCTTGGGGTTCGTCTCAAACCCTGATCCCTCTAATTCACCCTATAACTTAACGGCACACAGTGATCTGTGATCTGAATGTAAACAAAGAGAAGTCACCACAAAGCTTTAAAATACACAAGACTAAGCCAGCAATCACTCAAACATTGATGGATACCGTAATACGAGTACTAACACTTTTACAACAGCTAAATATTCATTATTCATCAGTAGTAGACTATTTCTTTACAGTTATGATCAGTTGAGGCAGAAACTACTGATTGGACTTCAAGTAATATCCCACTCTTTCTCTGTTTTACTGATGTTACGTCTATCTCTCTCTCTCCAGATCCAACAGTAACAGCGTGGGTCTGACCATCAGCAGTCTGCTGAAGGAGAAAGAAGTCTCAGAAGCTGCAAAGTTCACCGTGGACGAGCTCTGCCTGATCTGTAGCATCCTCAGCACTGCAGAGTACTGCCTGGCTACCACACAACAGGCATGTATACATATTCAGAATACAGACTTGAGGCCTGAAGAATCTATGAATCCATGCCTTAAGTTGAACTGCAGTGACTGTATATGATGGGGAACATAAGCGATGCCCATCATGTAGCAGTGACACAATGTTTGACCCGTGTTTCATCAGCGTTTTAAGGGACTCACAGTGGCAGTTCTGATTGCAATACACCCTTAAAGGTTTCACCCATGCTGTTTTTCAACACACATACAGCAATTTAATTCAGTATTTTAAAAAAATAGACCAACAAACATTTGAAAGGGTGCACTCAAAGTACGCTTTTTATGTGTTTATATTTGTGTTTTTGTATGTTCCAGTTGGAAGAGAAACTTAAGGAGAAGGTAGATAAACTCCTGGTGGAAAGAATTAATTTGACAGGAGAGATGGATACATTCAGCACGTAAGTGACAACTACCGGACCAGCAATGTTCCTCATATCAAAAAAGAGCCTACCTGTAAATGTGAAGAGTATGTTTTAATGGTGTTCATTATTTACTGTCTTATTTTCTCAGTGTGATCTCAAACAGTATCCAGCTACTCGTTCAAGATCTTGATGCTGCCTGTGACCCTGCTCTTACTGCTATGAGCAAGGTTTGACACACACACACACACACACACACACACACACACACACACACACACACACAAATAGTCACACATTCAGGTCATAAAATATAAAGAATTTGGAATCTAATACCATTGCCAATCATTAAAATTACATATTTTTGCCTCTCTTTTTCTTTCTCTCTCCTCTCTCCTCTCTCTCTGTCTCTCTCTCTCTCAGATGCCGTGGCAGAGTGTAGAGCATGTGGGTGACCAGAGTCCTTATGTGACGTCAATCATCATGCACATTAAACAAAATGTGCCGAACATCAGAGACAATCTGGCCTCCACACGCAAATACTTCACACAATTCTGCATCAAGTTCACAAAGTAAGATACATGTACACACACACACACATTCATATGCACATCATTGTTCTATAAATAAGCCATAGTGTTCCCAAAGTTGATGTATTTCTCACTTCTTTCTTTCCTTAGTTCTTTCATTCCCAAATTTATCAACCACCTGTTCCGATGTAAGCCTATCAGCATGGTGGGCGCTGAACAAGTAAGTCTAATTTATGCTAACGCTTTCCCAAAGCTTCATTTGAGCTGCGCTGTGAGTCATCATCTTAAGGACATTTTAAACCGTACATGCACATGTGTATTAATTCAGAAAATTCATGCTTTACACACGGGTTTAATCTTGAATAACTGTTCTTATGCCGGAGTTTCTGACTTGTGTATCCAATTCAACCAGCTCCTCCTCGACACTCACTCCCTGAAGACCGTCTTGCTGGATCTGCCCTCCATAGGCTCCCAGGTGCTCCGCAAGGCACCTGCCAGCTACACCAAGATAGTGGTGAAAGGCATGACCCGTGCAGAGATGATCCTTAAGGTGAGGCGCCTTAGATGCAAGATGGAAAACCACTCAACCTTGCTCTTAAGGCTAGTCGAGAGATTGTTTCAAACAGTTTACCCATCACGTATAAACTCTGAATGAGTCCGTATCTTTAACTGATGGATTTTAATGAGAACTTGAGTTCTCTAAATACAAAGTAGTTCAACTTAAACACATTATCAGAGCCACTTCATCTTTATGGGACACTTCAGGTTTTATCACATTTAACTTGGGTGGCTGAATTCATGCTGGCTATTTGTACAACCAAAGCTTCACTTTCTGACCTTTAAAGGCTTGGAACTTTCGATGGACCCTTTTGTCTGAGTGCGGTCTGAATGACTTGTCTTTATCTCTTGTTCGCCATTGTTCAGATTTGGTATTGAAATTCTGACATATCCAGTTAAACACGAGCTTTGGTGTTGACGCTAACGCTTAACCACGAACAGAGAGACACATCTTGCAGCTAACTGTTTTTTCCACTGATTAAGGTTCCATCATAAGAAGCAACAAAAGACAACATTTGTCCTTTGAGTGTTTGGTTTCATTGGCGAGCCAGTATTGAAGTGTTTGTTTTGAGTCACTCATGCAGATTATCTACTTAGAGTTTATTTTGGGCGAAATAATTCTTTAATTGGGTCTTTAACCTCTCTCACAATAGCACTTCATGAGCATGTTCCTATAAAATAACGCACCTCGGGAATAGTAATCGAGCCCATGCACTACTGGTTTAATGAGTGGGAGACGGGCCAACACAAGACACACACACACACACACAAACATATTCCTAAACACAGTATGTGGTTGACCTTAAGCCAGTGGAAAGGTGTGAGTGAGTGAGTAAATACGTAGATGCATGCAACCATGCGTCTACTCACGAAAACATGTCCAGTAAAACATGGTGTATGGGGGATGGACATGATTCTTAGCCTCGCCTCATAATTTACCTCATGAGACCCTGGAGGACAATGGTATGTGGCTGCCGTAGATACACCACACCCTAATTAACTGTCTCTGGAGTGTACAGAAATGCACACACACACACGCCTGTCCCTTGATTTACCTTGGCCTTCCGGGAGGCATTCTTTCCTTCCTGAAGTTATGCTGGTTGGACTGCCTTGACGTTTGTAGCAGTTAGTGTGACCTGCTCTAATCCTGCTATGCTGTGCTATAGTTAATGTAGTTATAATATTGCAACCACATCTTAAAACCTGTCCTAGATTTGGGACTTCAGGCACACTAGCTTTGCAAACCCCTCTCCCCTATTTCAGATTGGATAGCCTCTTCTTCTGTCGTTCTACTGGGATGCACGCTGGTCCATGTGTTCTGTTTAAGGCTTGTCTTTGTTCCCTGGAAAGATGCCCTGGATGCACTGTATATAAAAGAATTTCCAGTCAGCTGCCACACATTAAAAAGGCTTTCACATTATAGAATTATAAAATGCATTCACATCAGCATGTCTAGCTCTTTTTCTGGATCCGACTGCCAGTGGGCCCCTTCAGCTGGAATGTGATCTTCATGACTTTTGAAGAGGTCTCAAAGACGTAGCTAACACTCCATTAAGGCCTTCGAATGATTCGCATCGATTACTGTGACAGCGGAAGACATAATAATCATTCTGGAGGCTAGAAAGCTGATACTGCAAACAGCAAACATCCTTTTGAAGAAAAGTCTCAGTGATAATTCGAATGATAGACGAATAATACAGTCCTAACCAATAAGATACAGGCAAACATTGCATTTTGTCCCTGGTAGCAAGAAGGCATACAATTATGAAAAAATAACATTTTTGAACGAGCAAAGTGTCTTCTGTGAACGTTTCCGGCCTTTGAGAGAGAAAGCCCATATGAGTAAAGACAAGCGTTTGTACTGTGGCCAGCATATTAGCCATCAACTGTGCGCAACATCAAGGTTCCTCACAGGTAATTGCTTCCACCTTGGGCTGAGGCTGAAGCCTCTGAAAGACAAACCCATCTAGAGAGGGTCAATACAAGAATTCCTCCGTCTAGCCTCAACAATAGTTTTAAGTTACACTCTGTGATGCTGTGACTTGAAATCAAATCTGGCCTACCCCCCCACCAAGAAACACTCGAAGGAGCACTTTAACATTTTCAAAGCTCACTTTGAGATTCCTGCCAATAGCCCGCTGCAGGATTCCTTGTACATTTCAAATAATTAAGCATAATGCAAATTCTATGAAGTGGAACCGTGTTGTTTTTGCACGTTCTGATTTTATACCCTTGAGATCTTGTTTAAATAGTCCAGAGAGGTAAACTGGAGTGTAAGCAAAGCTTGTGTTTCTCCACACTTAGTCCTGAAATCCACCTTTTTTTTATCTAAACCTCGAGCATGTCATCTTGTTAACTCATAACTGTTCTATATGCTTTTTTTCCTTTAGTGTTGTAAGATTAAAACTATATCTATAATAGTATTTATTCCTGAAATGTTGGTTAGTATTTGGTGTTGACCTGTTTGCCATGGCATGTACACAGCTGCACATTTTGATGTTATGTTATGGTTCCACAGTTGATTTGATGATCTCAAACCAATCAAAACTGTCCTGTTGATGTTGCCAACAGGTGTGAAGCAACTATAACCTTGAGTACCATTATTTTTTTAGATTTTTTTACATGTTACATATTTAGCACACTTGGACTAACATGAATATTTATTTTGAGTTTGTGGTGTTGACTCCTGGAGGGGTATGTTTGTCTCTTTAGCTGCCAGTAGCTTCACAATGTTCACCAGCTAGCCGCTAACTTTGTCTCTCAGCTGTTTGGTGCTGGGCAGGCACCACATAGAGGTTTGTCAGAGCTTGTTTGCTAAAAGCAGCAGCCTGCTGCTGAAGTGAGAGGAAGACGGCACCAAAACAAGGAAGGTCTGTGTCCTAAAACCAAAACAATGAGCATAAAGGTGCTAAAACGGCCCATAAAGCTGAAGGGAACTGTGATATTAATACTAGCGATCCATTTCACATTACCCGTGCTCATTTAATTAATTGTTAATATAAGAATATTGATTGGTGAAGGTTTAAACTGAATATCTACTTGGGCTTCAGTTCAGTCTCAAGAGAATTATTACTGTAATTATTTTAAGTTTCCACTGCTTCCACCGTCTTTATGTAGCTGTCAGAGTAAGTACTTTCAGTGTTGAAGAATATATTTGTGTTGTCTGTTTTGAGAGCTAGTGCTCAGTTATGTTCGGAGTTCGTGGGATTCCGTGTGAGACGGCCTCTCCTGGCCGGTACGATGCCTGTGAGACGTGGCTGTTTTCCACGCTCCTCCAGCCCAGCATAGCTCCAGCTCTCTCTCTCTCTCTCTCCAACCTCTAAAGTTTTCTTCTGGGAAATATTTAAAAGTCAAACCCCCCCTTCCCCACTCTTGTTCAGCCTAAATGCCCCCCCACTTCCCTCTCCTTACTCGGTTGCTCTCCCTCTCCCTTTTTATGCCCGTGTTCATTCTTAAACTCCCTCTCTTTCTTTCTCTTTTTTTTTTTTTTACAAGGTCCCTACAGGCCTTTCCTTTGGCCTGGCTCCAGGACAGTTGCTAAGTAAATCACTCAGTCAGCAGGGCTAGTAAGAAAGCGAAGAATTCCACACAATCCTGAGCCTTTCATGCCTGCTCTTCCCTCTCTTTCTATACTCTCTCCCTCCCTGTGCAGCTCACCTTCTCACATATGTTACCTTGTGTAGAAAAGAGTCAACACAGAAAGGACAGGTTGGGTCTTTTTTTTATTATTATTTTAGAAGTGAAGGAAAAGAGAAAAACATTTTCTTAGATGATCCCTGCGTGCATGTGTATGCATGAGATGGGAGGTGGTGGTCTGTCGGCCATGTGTTGGTCTGCCTTCTTTGTAGCGGCTGCAAGAAATGCTACCCGATCCACGTTTTCCTCCCCAGTCTCTATTGTTAGGGAGGAAAAAAAAATAGAATCCAATCCAGAAAGACGTGTCCCGTTTAAACCTTTTCTGCCCGGTCTTGACTAATGCAGATTTTTGCCCAGACTCGTTATAACCGCAAAATAATTACCGGTGAAACCAATTCTTTGCCACCGATGCGTGGAGTAATTGGCGTTTAAAAAGGAAAAAAAATAATAAATGAGCGTGAGTAGTGGGCTCCTAAATACAGAACCATAGTCTCAACTTTGTTTGCTGCTAGAACTATACTTGGTTTGTCAGTTGTAGCCCCCCCCCCCCTCCCTCATTTGGGCCCTAGCTGCCCCATGTGGGATCATTTAAAGATCACTTGGGTCGTTCCATGATGGTTCACAAAAAAGGAGGGGGGGGGGGGGGGGAAGAGAACCAACATTAAACTCTACTTTTCCGCAGGTGGTGATGGCCCCACATGAACCGCCAGTGGTGTTTGTTGATAACTACATCAAGCTCCTGGCTGATGGAAATCCTGAGACCTTCCAGAAGATTCTGGACATGAAGGTCAGTAGGTTTCTACTGTACCAATGATGTAAAGACAGAGTTAGACATTTTGGGAGATCCGGGCATTTGCTTTTTCTGTTGGGAGATGGATGAGAAGATTGATAATACTCTCAAATCTGTAGCTTCAATATGGACCTGGACCTGCTTAGCTCATCAGCTAGACAGGTTCTGTTCGAAAGGTAACTAAATCTGCCCACCAACACCTCTAAAGTTCACTAATCAACATCTGTTCATAACCATCCATAAAACTACAAGTTGTAGTATTTATCACTTTGTTTTTTGTATTAATTAGTGAACTTTAGAGGTGCTGGTAGGTGGATTTTTTTTTACCTCCGGACAGAACCAGGCTTGTATTTATCTTGTCATCTTACTTTAGTAAAAAAAAAAAGCATACAATCATGTTTCCAGAATAATGTAATATTGCATTATGTCTCTAAGTTATCTCGTCTTTTTTTTCATTTTTCCCATAATTCTGTTTAGCATATGTTTTCTAGCATGTTCCTGTGAACCAACCATTTTCATCTTGTTTTTGCATTCTAAGATTTAAATTTTTTTTTAATATCTTGTGATTTCCCCTGTTTGTGTGTACTTGTGTGTGGATGTCTGTGTAGGGTCTGAAGCGCAGTGAACAGAGCAGCATGCTGGAGCTCTTCAGGCAGAGGCTACCCACTCCACCTTCCGGGGCCGACGGTGGGCCCTCTCTCTTCAGTTTCCCCACCCCTGAACAGGAGTCCTCTCGCATCCGCAAACTAGAGAAACTCATCAAGAAGAGACTGTGAACAGAGGCACATTGAAATTGCATCCTGAAAATTAAAAAGGGCTGCTGGCTGGGATGGTAGTCACGGCTTTTTTTTACTGTAATTCATCTCAAAGACATTCAGTTATCGTGGAGAAAGAGCAAAAAGTTGACTGACAGTAATAAGAACCCAAGCTGACGTCGGAATATGAAGAAACATCCTCAAATGCTACTTGTTCCATATGTAACTTACTTCTGCAACTTCCCACCTTTCTTTTCATGACACCAATGTCTTGAGTTTTGTAACATTACTACATCATTGCACATTACTACATGCACTCAGAAAAACTATTGTAGTGCTATTAGCTAAATGGTGCTCAGAGAGCCTCTGGCTGCCTCTCTGGTACATGTCTAATCCACAATGATTACAGGAAGCCTGATCTTAATGGAAGTTGATGTTTTCTGAACATAACATATTTCAATGGTTTCCCCTCAACTATTTTAACTTCAAGTAACGGATACCAGGTTGAAATTCATGTGCATGTCTGTCAGCCATTGAAGTGGACATAGATGATGGGGTTGTTTGTGTGAACGGTGGCCTAAAATGAATCGCTGACTCCGGGTTTAGAGTCCCCACGTCTGGGACGAATAGAATCGTTTGATTTCCTGCATCATCAGTCCGATGTGACTGTGATTTCTCTTAATATTTAAAATCCATCTAGGTTGACTTGAAAATGAGAACCAAGTCTTTTCACTTGGGCCGTTGCCTGGGCAGTATACTAAGTATATGTACATAAGTATGTTAGTATACTAAGCATGTGTACATAAGAGCACATATGTGCGGTCAGTCAGTCTAATTTGTTTAACAGTCCAAAAATATTCTTTGATAATTTAGTCCTCCGTCTCCTTTGCAGTGACATGTAAACAAGGTTTAGTTCTAGTATATCCAACATATCCATAGGACAACAAAATGCTCAGTGTTCTCTGAAGCTGCTCCCTCACGAATCCTCTTCAATGTCCAATACATCAGTCTGGAAGAAAGCAAAAATCAGCTATTTATTTGAAGTCAATGCCCTGATCGCTGATTTTAATGCCAGTGCCTCTCAGTTGTAGTAACTCAAGTCAATGTAACTGCATTAGTGTACACCAAGGGGTAGGCAACGGTGGCGTAACCAATGACACACTAAGTGTGCAAGAGAGTTTTTTGGAAATGTTTGATTATTTTTTTTCCCTTGCAGGAAGACCCACCATACTCTGCCTCTGATTGGCTACTACTTGTCGTCTTTGCTGAATTGTATTACTGATTAACAAGATTGGTGGTATTAATGATTTCAACTCAGATATGGTTGTTCTCATCAGCCTTCTTGTATACTATCGAATAAAATTACAATGACCTGATTTTGGGAGAACATTTGTGTTTTTTTAACTATTACTAAATTACAGATCCATTGGATATTTCATTTTTGATGTGCCATAATTCAACTTAAAGGTAACTTTGATGTTGATATTTCACACAAAAAAAAAAATGGCACATCTTATCAAAAAGGTTGCCTGCCCCATGGCGTACACATCAACGCCTTCAGGTACAAGACGTTGCTTCTTTGTGTTGTCTGAATTGTATGCTACACGCGCAATTGTTGAACACCATTAAAATATTACCGCTTTGTGCGTCATGAAATGTGTGTACACTCTGTCAATTTGCACAATATGCACAATACCAGGAAAAAATGTTAACCTGGTTTTTACCAGGATTCCACTTTTGAATGAGGGGGCTGGAAAAGTTCCCATGAGCAGCTCCGGCTCTGGTTGCCACTTATCCTCCATCCAATCGGGGGCGTGTAAATGCTTCACGAGGCGTTTCCTCTGGTGTGTTCGTGGATCTGAAGGCCCCTTTGAGGGAGATCAGTTCGAAGCCGAGGCGCGGGTGGCTGCAGGATCCCCCTCGCATCCTCTCTGCTCAACTCAACAGCGGACGAACTTTTCCATCTTTTTATACACATTTACTGCGGAGCTGGGTTGTGCTTTGGTATTTTTTAATGTCAAAGTAACTTTTTTTAATTGTCGTATTTTTAAGGTCTGGCGGGGGACTCAATTACCGCCGAGTTGACACACATTTCCACCGGACGGCAGTGCATCCTGTCCCGGGAAGAGGTTTGCAGTAACACCCCGTTTGGACGTTGATTGCAACAAACCCCGAGGACGAAAACAACTCGTAAGGAAGTTACAATCTGGAACTATTTCTCTGTCGAAATCTGCGTTTCAGTCGCTGGACTTTTGCAACTTTTTTTTTTTTTTTAACTAGAAATGGTTGGCAGGTTGAACTTGCCAAATGCATGTGAAGGAGATCCACTGGATATGAGCTGCAGGGCTGATAGAGGACTTGACAGCCCGGACTCCGGGTTACCCCCGAGTCCGAGCCCCAGCGCATGGCTGCTGCCGGTGTGCGCGGACAAACCCGGGGGCGTGAGCCCGGTGTCTGAAGACGAGGGAAGGGGCTCTTTGGTTGGTAACACTACTACCTGACTAACGCTGTGATTTCAGTTTATATACTCTCTTTAAAGTCAGGCCACCGACCACTAAATGCATATGGACACATGTATATATATATATAGTATATGGATGAGTTGCTGTACTAACGTTGCATGTTCTAGGAACTTAGTATTGCAAGCCTGCTGGTTTCCACACAGGATAAATGTTATGTGGTAGTTTTTCCTACAAATTGCAGGTTTTCTTGCATTGGAATAGCTGTTTCCTCTGAACATCAGTGTGTTGCTAACTCTGCAGTTTGTATAATTTTAAACCAAATGTTTGTGGATGTTCTTGACAATAACACTTGTGACATCCTGTGAGAAGAAGAGGAACACTCCAGCACTAAGCTGGACCTATTAGTTGCAGTATTATCTCCTGGTGTGTTGACTGTGGGACTGATTTTTATCATTGCAGGTTCCAGTTATACCCTCTGGCTCGTTCCAGCAGCTACACCCACTGTCCTACGGGGAAGGCATAGCACTTGATCCGTTACCGTCGAAGGAAATAAGGTGGGTTTTGCTGTGCCCTGTTCTGTGCAGCATTAGACCCGCTGGAGGATGTGCTCAAAAGTGACACGCCATAGGGACATGCAGGCTGTAATATTTGAGTATGCACCAAGATGGCTAACCAATGCAAAGTGTGTCCATAAGTAGACAAGAGAAACGTGGGACTGGGACAAACATTGCTTTGTAGTGTTATGGATAGTTGGCGCAGGAGGCTGCAGACTAGTTTACCTCTGTTTTCAAACCGTTACACTTTCCCTCTTCCACAGGTTTACCTCATCCGTGCACTACGGCTCGGACCGCCACTTCATCCAGGGCGTGGCCCTGCAGCCCACGGGCCAGGGCCTTGAACACTGCAGGCAGACCATTATGGCCGTGCCCCACAGTACCTGGCGCCACTACAAGACACAGCTGGATTTCCAGCCTCGCCATCGGCCACAGTGCTTCAAGAGCACCACCATTGTCTACCCCAAGAAAACCAGTGCCCTCTACACCACAGAGCTGAGCTACGACTGCCACCGACTATCCAAACGTTTCTTCTCCAGTGTGGAGCTGGAGGCGGCCGGTCGCAGAGAGCTACCTCAGTGAGGGAGGGGACAGGTGGCTGGAGACACGCAGCCCCTATACTGTAGCTCCCCCCCCCCCCTCCCCCCCCCCCCCCCCCCCCCCCCCCCCAAGGCTGGCTGTCTTTGACCTGCTGTGTTGTCTTTGTACAGTTGTGTAGCCTGTTTTCTTTTTTAAGTACCATTCCAAACTGTGGACAGGAAGCACCTGTGATGTTATGGATATAAGAAATGACAAGACATGAACAAAGTGGATAAAATATCCATTCAGTCCATGTCTTCGTGGTTATATTCCTGACATCAGTTGGAGTGGATTTTTCATTAAATGCTTCACGTTGCAGAGTGATTGGTTTTAAATTCAAACGATGAGGCCTGTCTCAGTTCAGGTGATTTGTTTGCGATCACAGAGAAGCTTTCTTTAAAAACTGCTATCTTATTATATGGTTCAAAGCTACTCGTATGTAAGGCAGAGGAAGGGAAAATTAAATGTGTAACTGTGCTTGAGTTTTGACTGCATGCTAAGAAATCACTACTTTATTCCACACTGTACAAAGGATGTGGTGAAAATACTAAACGCTTGTTTTGTTTGTTCACAGGGTATTGTGTGTTTCTGCACGACAGGCACAAGCTAAGCACTTCCCAAGCCTTTTTTCTGACCACTGTCTATGGCTGCGATTCTTAATGTATTATGAACATGTTGGTAAATTAAGTACGCTTTTCTTTGTTGGGATGTGTAAGTGTAAACAAACTAATTAAATAGGTAGTATAGATGGATCATGAGTGTGGAGTTTACTGAAAAGTGGATATTGTTTTTGATATCACTCACTGGCTTAGTAGTGAAAATAACAAGCTGCATTCCTTTGCCATCACTTTCTTTGGCTTGGCTTGGATTGAAATTGTATTTATTCTGTTGGAGTTCTAGGGTTTTATCCGCTGTTTAATGGGTCTCTCCAGTCATGCAGGGGCTATTTTTGTGATGCCCTTTGTGCCTTATTGATGTGGCTGTTGATTCTTCTTTTTGATAATAGGCACTTATTCAGTGCAAGTTTGAAATAAAATGTTCAACAATTTGATATTTTAAGAGGTATTCCGTGTTCGTTTCAAAAGATGACAGCAGAAAGTGGTCATTTTTTGTTATTTTGGCCTGCAAAATAACAAACGTGGTGACACAATTTGACCACGGGAATGTTGTGTTCACATGGTTTTTGAGGTTATCGAGTAATTAATTCACATTGTACTTCAGAGGAGAAACATTTGGAGGTTTCTGCTGCATTGATGTCCTAGAATCTAGATGGATGTTTTCTGTTCAGGGTGAAATGTCCCATTTAGACCTCGTGCTGCTTTAACGCCCTCTTGTGGCCAAAGAGGGAAAGTACAACAGGGAACTTGCTTTAATTCCAGGTCGAGGTTGATTCTGTGCTTCAAATCATATTTTCAACATCATAAATATATATATTTTTAATTTATAAAGATTTTCTGATGACTTGGCGCTACACAAGGGAGACAGAAAAACGGGGATAATTAAAATAACGTACAATTGAGCAAGTATCAAAATTACACTATAAATCATTCTCGGGAGAAAACAGAACAGTAACAAATAAAAAATGCAGCCCCGGTCTTTAGGAAATGTGTCATCTGGGAAAATGTATCTAGTAGTCACTGTAAATTACTAGGAGGAAATAGAAAACGTATCAGGAAGCCCCTTCTGATATCAGCCAGCAGCATCTTTTTGGCTTTTTGCCTATTTCACAAACAACACACAAAGTTAAACATGACATAAATCATGTTTACGCTCTATCTTGTGACCGCTGAGTTTGTTCTTTACTGATTGGTTTGTGTGTAAAAAAAAAATAAAATAAAAAAAATTCTGCAGGATTAGTGCTTATTCCCTAAATTCAAGGTTTCATGAGCATTTTGGGAGTTTCCTCAGAAGATCCCAGCACCATCCTGACTGGTGAACTGTAGATATTGGGTAACCTCTTGCAGCATATTTTAGGTGTATTTTTCTTTTTTGTCTTTTCACAACACATCTGAACCACTGTTGCACTAATAATTGAGTTTATTCGTTTGAATTGGCGGTTTTTAATATTGAAGTTAAAGAACTTTGTACTAAACACTGGGATTGATTATATTTTCCCAGCTTGTCTATTTGTATATTGCCTTCATATCTAGTTATCTGTAAATGTCTGACAATAAAAGCTCCTTTTGAGGACATTGGAATCGTTCGTATGTCCAATGGGCCCGTTTTCAGCAAGTTATTCTATTCGGACAAACTCAATGAAATAGTATCTGCTTTGATTTGACAGCTGAAGATCTACATTTCTCCCACATGACCTGAAAGCAGCATTGCACCGATGCGTATGACGTATCGGTACATATTTTAAAACACAAAATGAAAACATTATACAGCCTAAACTGTTTACATTGGTATATGGGCGTTCAAGAATTAAAATTATTATATATATGATTATTATTATAAGAATTATTAAAATAATACAAGCACAAGCACAAACACTTTGCGTTGTATGACGTGTTATGGGTTCAGAGGTCGTAAACACGCCCACGTCTTTCCAGCATGGTGGACTAAAGCGTCGTTGTTTATTATTGTTACAAAGTAAACATAGCTAACGTTATATATATATATATATATGTGTGTGTGTGTGTGTGTGTGTGTATCTTTATGTGACTGTGGGGGATTTCATGGCGCATATCCGGTTGTCTCTCGTCTTTGAAACGAGGAAATAGATGTCAGACGATAGAATCCCTGCTTAAACTCTACTGTCGCTTGTTAGCTTGTTATGCTAACGTTAGCCGGCTGAAGAATGAAGACCTCCAACGGAAACAGCACCGTCATGGACATGTTTGAAAAGGGAAAGGTCCTGAAAATATGTGCGCCAATGGTTCGATATTCAAAGTAAGTGGAGTCTTTGTTCTTTCTGTAATTGCATTTATTCGTTTTTATTCTTGTACCATCTACGTGAAAATTCTGCAGGTACAGTTATCCTTTATCGTGTGTCTTCTACAAACTATGCTCAATAAAGTCGTTTTTTTTCCTGTAGGCTTGCATTCAGGTCCTTGGTGAGGAAATACGACTGTGATATCTGCTTCACCCCAATGATAGTTGCTTCTGACTTCATGCGATCTGTGAAAGCCAGGGACAGTGAATTCACAACCAATGAGAGTGAGTAGCAACATGATCTGTAACAGTGCTACACACTCCAGTGAACCGCCTCTTGTAATGCACAGCATCCTCACACAAACATGTCTTGTCTTCCACATGATGAATGTGCTGTTAATTGTGAGCGTTGTACATAATGCCATATTGCTTAAACTTTCAGAACTAAGACTTTCTTTTTCCTCCTCAGGTGACCGGCCCTTGATCGTGCAGTTTGCGGCCCCTGATGCCCAGACTCTGGCTGATGCAGCCTGTGTGGTCGCACCTTTCTCAGATGGGGTTGACCTCAACTGTGGCTGTCCACAGAGGTACAGTTACAGTAGGCCTTGATACATTTTGGCCTCCTTTCTTTTTTTTTTTTTACTACTCTTATTTCAGATCAAAAGCAAACAGTTTGTTTGAGTTATTAATTTCTAATAAAAACAGAATGTTTCTGTTTTCATCACTAGTATTTTGAATACTAATGAAGTGTTAGCGTATTGTATTCCTGTACAAAGATCTATTAAACCCTGTGCCCACTGATCATGCTTGCAAGTCTTTATTTAGGTTGTTTGATTATTGATTTTTTGTTGTTGTTGTGTTTTCAGGTGGGCTATGTCATCCGGGTTTGGTGCATGCCTCATCAACAAGCCTGAACTTGTGAAAGACATGGTCAGACATGTCAGAAATCAAGTGGGCAATCCAAACTATACAGCGTCCATCAAAATTAGGTAAAAAAAAATGAACCAGTTTGACATTTAATTTGATTAAACATGAGAAAGTTTGTCCACTGACAAGTTTATGTTCAACTTTAAAATGTCCAATATTCTTGGTCAAGATAATAATAAAAAAATAAATCCAAGGTGTCATGTAACTCCATTTTTAATGTGTTAACAGTGCTCTGTTGTGTTACAATCACGTAATAATAACAACAATTAAGAGAAATTCACTTCACCCACAGAATTCACAATGACCTGAGGCGGACAGTGGATCTGTGCCAGAAGGCTGAATCAGCAGGTGTGTCATGGATAACGGTCCACGGCCGCACAGCAGAAGAACGCCACCAGCCAGTCCATTATGACGCCATCAAGACAATCAAAGACAGCCTATCCATCCCGGTAATCGCCAATGGGGACATAAAGTACCTCCGCGATGTGGAGTCCACTCACCAGCTCACTGGTGTCGATGGTAGGTTTGCTTTCAACCAAGTACACGTCTCAATTTATGACCGATTTTTAAAAAAAAAAAACTACAATATTCCTTTTTAATTTGTTATTTTTTGTTTGTTTGTTTGGATTTGCTCATTAGGTGTGATGGCTGCGCGGGGGTTGCTTGCAAACCCTGCCATGTTCTCCGGCTATGAGGACACTCCTTTGGAGTGTATATGGGACTGGGTGGACATCTCTATTGAGCAAGGCACTCAATTCACCTGCTTCCACCACCATCTTATCTACATGCTGGAGAGGGTTAGCTCCCAGCCTGAGAGAAAAGTGTTTAATTCTCTATCCAGCACCTCAGCTGTAATAGATTACCTCGAGAACACATACGGGTCAGTGCGTGATCTGGGAGCATAACCATATTTATGTGATACAAATACAAATGTGATATTTTTAAGATTTGAACATTTTTTTTAACTTTGTTTTATTTTTATGCCAAATAAAACTGCAAAGCTACAGAGGTGTGTCACTGTCACGGCCCGTCTTCTTTATTGCTGTATTTCCATGATCATGTAGCTAATTATATCTAGTGATTATTAATTATTGTGTTACACAGTAAGGAGTACATACTGAGACTTGACTTTTTTTGCTTCCCACTAAATATTTACCACATGGAACATGTAGCTGCACACCCTCAAAGATCACAAGAATTTGAATCATTTTTATCAACAAGACAATTTCCTATAGTGCAATATTCTAAGTCATCATCAAATATAAAGGATATTATAACTAGTGATAGAAAAAAATAATTTAAATAATGACTAAAATGAACAAGGTGATACTGGTACAATGATTATTTTTCATGCAAGTTCTGTGTAATCTTTATTGACGATGATTACTTTGTGTGTTGATATTTTAGCAGCATAATCGATATAAGTACTGTTTTTAAAGAAACAACATAATTTAAATGTATTTTAGATTTTAATTATTCAGAGTATTTAAAAGGTATATGCCGGAAGTAGTGCAATTTTGCCTTCAAAGTGATTACAATGAATCCTTGTGAAAAGGAGGGGTCGATGGGTTGTACAGACAATAGTCAGAACAGACGGTTTTAATTTCAGAAGGTATTACCGAACCACGTATTTCGCAGCCAAATTCATTGTGAAATTCAAATGCATTGTGTCAATATGCCCATAAAAAAAGATCATCTTGAAATTTGTTTTATTTCGAAGAAAAAAATAGGACCGGAAGCTATGTCTGAGCTGACTGGAACCAACGACAGGAACAGGAAGTGGGATGTGGACGTACAAACTTTTTTGGTAATCGATTTCAAAAGTTAACTCCCTCTTAACGTGTTCTGTTTAAATTCGTATTTTTGGTGATTTGCTGGTAAGTTGTGACTCTTTATGCCTGAATACTGATATTATCTTATTGCCATTTTAAAATGTGTAACGCTAGCTAGTTAGCGTTAACCTAGCTATTTGTGAATCGCGCAGGATAGTTTTTGACGTTAACTTAGCTTTTAGTTAAGGTGTCGTTAGCTCGTGTTAACGGGAGTATTGGATATATGATTGTGAACATGGATAAGGGATGAAAAGAGTGAAATAATAATTTAAAGCACATGCTATCAGTATTAATCCCTAATGAGCATATAAACACACTTTTTTGTCGTCACCTATTGCTTGTGGTGACACGGATGTAAAGTAACGTTAAGCAATAACGTGCGTTTGACAGAGTAACTACCTTTTGAGAGTTTACGTTGAGGTATGTGCACTTTGAACAGAGCCAATAAGGAGCTTAAGTTAGCATGTTTTTCAACTGAGGCTGCATTGTTGGAATAGAAGCAATGCACGCTAGCTAAACCTCGCCGCTGTACCAACGTTACTGACCGAGCTTTATGATCTTGACAGTTTGTTGTCGCTGTTTCGTCAGAGAGGCTGGTCAGAAACCAGTTCTTAACTGGTTTTGTGTCTATCTTTGTCAGGTTATCGCCAGAGGCCCTCGCTTGAGATGACGCTGCAATGGACTGTTGTGGCTCTCTTTCTCTATGTGGAGATGGGCATCCTCGTTATCCTCTGTTTACCCTTCATCTCTGCCAGGAGGTACGTAACAGTCATACGCGACGAGTGATCTTAAGATGATCGGGATTGTGTGTCGCATAGTGAGTCCTTGACACACTCGAACATGCTGCCTGTCTATACATTATTGTGACGTTGTGTCTGTGTGTGGTTGCAGATGGCAGAGTATTTTCCAGCTGAGGATCTGGAACTGTGTGACAAAGTTCTGGAACAAAGTGTTTCTCACAATGATCATCATACTCATTGTCCTCTTCCTTGGTAAGTGAAGCATAAAGAGTGCCAGTGTTTTTCTTACATCCTTGTAGATACTTTTGGGAGTAATTCCAAGTTGGACCACTTGATATTCTGTGAACTGTCTAGTCTCAAAACAACAGTCAGCTGGGGGGGGGGGGATTAGGGTATCTTGGTGTACTTTTGAATGCTGTAACATAAACTAGGTACACAGCAGAAAAGGAGTAACATTTTGTTAATTTCTTACATCTTTTCCTTTAGATGCAGTGCGTGAGGTGAGGAAATATTCAGCTAAAGAACTCGGCACAGACACCAAGCTGCTACCGAACATGTTTGATCACCTGCACATGAAGCTGTTCAGAGCCCAGAGGAACCTCTACATCTCCGGCTTCGCTCTCTTCCTCTGGCTGTGAGTCTTTGCTCTCTTACACTGATACCCAGATGACCTGTCAGAGGTGTTTCTCAATCCCCCTGTTATTTTATTCTATTTGCAGGGTTATGAAGCGAGTGATCACCTTGATTAACCAACTGGCATCGGTGTCTGGCTCTACGGCTGCTCTTCAGGCGCAGGCTGAGAACTCTACCCAGACTGCCAAGAAATGCAAAGAGGACAATGAGCTGCTGAAACAGGTAGACTTCACATTGATTGGGCGAAGACTCAAAGCTGCAAACAACTGCAAAATATACCACAGACAATTAATTGATCAGACAATACTATTGAATGATGAAATGGATTTGTATGTACCTGAAATATAAAAGTTGAGTGTCAAATTGTAGGTGTGGATGTGTTGAGTTTTCATGTACTTGAGGTTCATTTTTATTTGATGGATTTCAGACTCTGATGGAAGGGAAGGATGATAAGGCTACCGGAGAGGGCATGAAGCTGTTGAGAGAAGAGGTGGAGAAACTGCGTGAAGAACTGAGGATCTCAGGAGATGGTTAGTATCCACGTACATGTAGTGTTTGGGTTAGTGTTGTTTTTATATAGAACTGTAAACTTTAAATCTATTCACTTCCTGTGCTGATGTGTGTGTGTGGGTGTGTGGGTGTGTGGGTGTGGGTGTGTGTGTGGGTGTGTGTGTTTCCGTTTCCGTTTCCTTTCCAGCACTGAAGAACTCCCAGTCAGAGGCAGATGCAATGAAGAAGCAGATGGATGGCTACGCCAGGGAGTACGAACGACTGCTGAAAGAACATCAGGAGCTCCAGGTGATGCTTAGTCCTAAACACAGCAGGATAAGGACTTGTTAGGTCGCTCGCCACCTCAATAATTCACGTTTTTTGAGAAGCCATCATCAACTCAAATGCTATATTATATTAAACAAATATTATTAATCGTAGTGAAGAGAACAAATCCAATTTATTTCCAGGATCTCCACTAAAGAAACACATACAAGTTAGATTTACATTAGATAAATGGAATACATTTTGTTTCTATAATACATAACATATTAACTGTCTTGTTTTTTGTTTTTTTTGTCTTTTCAGAATCTTCAAGATAGTGGAAACAAAAAAGATGACTAGTTATTGTAAGAAACTTAAAGGGTGAAGTGTTTACGCAGAAAATTAGCCCAATCACGAGAGAGCCACTGCAACGCATGCTTCACCTTCATATAGCACCTTGTGTCACACAGCATATCATAAAGCCACCATTGGCTCCCCTGGGATAATGGCCTGACTGGTATCCGTAATTGTTTTAAAGCATGGAGGTGGATTTTGTTATTGCAGGAGTAACATTGGATGCTTTCTTGTTTCTGCCTGCTGTAGTGTGACTTTGCAGCCTGGATAGAGTTCAGTCAGTAGTTGATCCGGGTCTGATCACAGAGCACTTGATATGTTAAAAGAAATATGCAGCAAGGACGGCTACATAGTGCAAGACTTGTCAACAGCTGGAGCAGCGACGGCTATGAATGTATTTTTGATACGTCTTTCTGTCTGTAGCAGGGACACCTGCTGCACCCACTTTGAGCTTAACAGTATGTAAATTCAGCCAGCGCTCGCATGGCTGTGCAAATCTATTTGGCATATACAGTTGCACTTCACATGTTTTTGTTGTATTCCAGCTGATGATCTGTTTAGCTGGTACATACGTTTTGTTTTCTTTTTTTGTTCCCTTCTTAACTTGAACTTGTAAATGTTGAAGATGGATAGAGATACAACTGAATATCTGTGGGCATAGAAAATTGGTTTCAACCACTCAGATCTTACTTAAGGTTTAAATGTCTTCACTTCAAACTTTTATGGTCCAGATTGTCGTATATTTGCTGCACTGCGTGTTGTACTGTTTGTAGTGAAGCGGGGCTGTGGGGGTTTTGTTGCCTTATCACTGTGAAAGAGGAGATGAGATTATAATCATCGGATGCTTCAAGTTTTTTATTGATAAGTGAATATGTTATTGGGTTTGTCAAAGTAACTTTTCAGGTGATAAAATTGCAAAAAGACCTTTTTCAAGTTGTATTCTGTTGGAAGAAAGAAATCACATAGAAGTGCCTTTTAGGTACACTTTGTTCAATAAAGAATTTCTCTCTGCCACGCCTTGTTTTGAATAAATAACACAAAACACATAATTTCATTGGATATTAAAAATTTTATTTTAGTATTACATTTAAGATATTCTTTGAAATTTTACAAAAATAATTCAAGAAAATGATTTACATTCTGATTTCGTGAATGCAAGTAAATGGCTTTACATTATTGAGATAATGACTTCCTTCCTCTCCGAGTCTGTGCCTGAAACTAAACCTGAATTGAAAAGACGATTCAATCAACAAAATGGTACACGTCCATTTTGGAAAAGTCTTACAAAATGATATGCTGTACATTTACGAAGACAAAAGAAATGCTTACAGTAGCTAGTCGATTTATTTTTGCTTCAGAGGTTATGACATGTTTCAAGGAAATGGGTTCTGTTTATGGAATGAAGCTGTTTGAGAATAAAATGGATAGAAAAACCTGAGAATAGACCATGATCTTTCTGTTTGTAGGTTTATGCACACTCAGAAATACAAACACAAAAACACACCTAAAAGTAGACTGACCAGTGAAACAAATCGACAGAGCTTATATACATCAATAACATAAATGCACATTTCCTGTGGTGATATCTTTTATCAATATTGCAACAGTACAAATTCTGCCTTTTCCAAGGCACCAAAAAGAGCGAGCATTCTCCTCAGCCATCTGTTTCAACAGGAAACATTGTATTATACTGCTGAGGTGCATTGAGATATTCTGAGCAGATTTAGTCCAATCTTAACAGTGTCGTGACAAAGTTGAATACGCTGTTATTTGTGAGTTAATTGGCACTGATGCTGGTTGAACAGCCTCCAGTAGACAAAAAGGTAAGCAAATCTCACTTTAATACAATTTCCATTTTTAGTATGAGTACCAAAGGGGAACAAGTTCAGATCCAGAAAGTGAACAATACAAAGTGAAATACAATCACAGCTGACTTTGGGCTTAAAGTAATACACAAAACTCTTCAGAGTCAGTCAGAAATTAAGCATTTTTCTGAGCAAGTGTTAAGACTTGCATTCAGTCTGAGATGAGTGAAAGCAAAATGAAACAGCGTTCATATATCTGTTCAGTGTGAGACGCATGATTTAGAGGTAACTGTTGAGTGAGTGAGGCACATACGTCGTATCAACCTCTGACAAGCCTTTTAGAAGTTACTGAAATACATATTCATACACATTTCTTTTATATCTTTTCTATTTTTCTGATAAAAATACATCCTTACTTCCTGTCTCTAACTTTCCTCACCTTAATTCTACTTTTTTTGTTTAAATTTAGTGCTGCACCTCTGGTTTATAAGGCCACGTTTCCTCTCGTTATTTCAGGAAGAAAAAGTTAATTTGAAAGAAAAATCCAAAGAGGCAGCTTTATAAGTGCTGGTAGTAGTCTACACAAGTCCCAGTTCCCATCGAATCTCTCGTGCAACCACTAAAATGTGAAAAATATTGTTATATTGAAGAAAAATAAAAGCATTCAAGAAATATTTCAGTTATATCAAATTCCTGTCAAATTCAAAAAGCCTTCACAGGTTCAGTAGTACAAATATAGAATGTATGCTTTATATGAGATGAACGGATACAACATGTCATTCCCTGCAAATTTTATTTGAGTGTGTGTGTATATGTACGTGTATGGTTGTAGTTTTTCACCTGTGGTGTGTGTGTGTGAGAGAGAGAGAGATGGAGACGAGGTGAGTCAGTTCTGCTGGATCTGTCACAGCCGTGTCTCCCTGTCTGTGCTGTTGTCTGGGGTTTGTTGTGATTGGTCAGAATTAGAAGTCACAAACTCTTCCTTCCTGAGTGCCTCCAGTTCTGTTCCGCCGTTGGCCAGATCACCGTGGATGGCATTCCGTTCCTCCTTCCTCAGCTGTCGACCGAGTAGAATGAAGCCCGGGATGCAAACAATGAACGAAACAGTCCGTAGGCTCAGAGTCAGACCCAGGTACGCTATCCTGAGAAGTCAAGATGTTTCATTAAAGATTTATGGGTTTATGTATTTCATTATGAGGGGACATCAAGGACAATGACATCGTTAAGTGTAAGTTCCAATCATGTCTGTGTGTTCGGATTTGATTGATTGACTGTCCCTGTTTGCATTGAATCATGCTCCTTATGGGAGTCATAAGGAGCATGATTTAATGGGGACAGTGTAGACAAGTTAAAGCTACTGTAACCAAAAGACATATGGCAGACAATGTGCAGCAGCAATTGCAGCACAGAATGTGTTACTTCAAAGTTTACCACCAAGTGTTTATGGTATAGTACTTATGCTTTGCATTGCAATCAAATATATCATTGACAAATTAACAGAAATGTCAAACGTGGCAATATCATGGCGCTCAGTTGTTATTTTTGTTTAAATCGGTTTGAAATTACATTTTTTTTTGTTCGTTGCCAGATAAAATATTATAAACCTGCCACATACAATATGGCATTGCCTGAAACAGTGATATTAACTTTATTTTACAAATACAGAAAATTATAGATCTATAAAACTCGTCTTTACTACCTGTATGCAGTGGTGTTGTAGATCCGACAGGCTCCAATGCCTCCACACCTTTTCTGACCCCATTTTAAGCATGTGGTGTCAATGATTGCTCCAAAGTAGATGGGTGCTGGGATCCCTGCTGTAAGACCAAAATCATATTTTCACAACCACATCCCCAAGAACTGAAACACAATAGATTCTACTGTTCTCAGCAGTCAAGTACGACTGAAACACTGACATTTCTTATATTGGTAGTTCAAGTGACAGGAAAGTTTGAAAGAAAGATAGAACTAAATCCAAGATAACGCATTTACAGAGTTTGCATCCTAACCCATTACATTACATTACAGTCATTTAGCAGACGCTTTTATCCAAAGCAACTTACAAGTCAGATTCTATCACATGTGTAGGCACAGCTATGGGAGCAATTTTGGGGTTAATTAAGTGTCTTACTCAAGGACACGTCGACATGCAACCAGCGATCCTCTGATTGAAGGACGGCCCTGCTATCCACTTAGCCACAGTCGCCCACAGTCGAATCACTCGAACCACTCGAACATGCTTGATAAAGGATGTTTTGAAAAAGACTTACCGAGCGTACGTGTTGCCATAGCATGGAACCCCAACGCCAAAGATTTTAGCTGTGGTTTGATGCACCTTCATGAAGAGAAATTGCAGACATTTTTCAGGAAATATCATTTTTTTTTAAATGGTTAGAAAATGTCAGTTATACTCTTTTAAACAACTCAAAAATGATTTAACATGTCAAGGGGTAAAATCTGGGAAAAATCCTTACAGACAAAAAGTGAAATAATGGCCATGATGGCATGAGAGCTAACATGACCCTTTGTAGCAGTGTGAGTGATGGTAATGTAGTAACTTTAAAGTGTTTTTTCATTACAATTTGAATCTGACCTGATGAGAAACATGTAGCCTGGTGTGCCCCCAAGGGAGATGATAAAGGAAGTGACGACGGAGAGAGCCAGGAAGTACGGGAACATCATGTCACAGTCATCCTTGTGAGGGCACTGACCTGTACTGGCCGTAAAATTACCAGCCGCACCGACACAGCTGCAGTTAGAGAAGACCTGGAGAGACATGCATAGTTGCTCACACGTGACCATGTATAGCAGGACATAGACACACATATACACATACTGTATATTCACAAACACTCATATATGAGGCTGCAGAACAACAAAATTACTGCAGTTGCTAATGATCCATAAGAATTTTTTTAAAAGCTAACCAGGCACAGTAAAGACAACATGGCTCCTTTGACAGCACTCACATAATCTACTAAAATATTATGGGATCTCATTTATAGGAAAATGAAATAACTCAAAAATATGGTATGTGTATAACCTTCTCATTTATGCACGAAAAAATGGCTGCATAGGTGATAATTCGTGATGGCTCATGGATCATACAGTAACGTTAATATCTTATCGACAAACATCAACAGTGTATTTGAACACCCATAACGTTCAGTTTTAGGTATGTACCAATATTGTGAACCTGTCAAAGTTGTGCTACGCAGCATGCACAATACTACGGTATCTAATACCAGAAATACATTTTCCATTTGTAATATTTCTCATAGCTTGAGTACCTTGTCAACTTACTGTGTTTTTCCCTGAGCCAGCAGAGGTGGTGCAGCCAGCAAGACAGGGAGAAGCATATGTGATGCCATTCTCTCCGCAGACTGGGTCCCAATCACTCGTTGAACAAAAACAGTCTGAGTTGCAGGCTGCAAACACCGAGTGTTTATCATAAGATATGTTGTCCATGCTGGAAGGAATAAAGCAAGAGAAAAGTACACATTGAATATGCCATTACATACCTGTATATGAGTACTCTTTACATAATTATAATTTAAAAGAAAACAAGATAAACAATGATGGCCAAAGCCTACTAGTAGCTAGCAGAAACTGTTACATATTTTAATACATTCGGTGAAAAACAGAGAATGTACCTTTGAGAGAAAATTATTCATTTAATCTTAATGTTGCTTTCTCACACAAATTCTCACTCTTAATTTATCTCTTACACACCTTACTTGGGATGTGATTCTGTCTCTGTTGTACATGTACAATAATAGCAGAATATCTGATGCAATTCATTATCTGTAGAGGGCGTAATTCATGATACGAAAACAATCAAAAAGATGCATTTTGTTACATCCAGCCATATGTACTTGAATGCCCCAATCCTAGAAGCAGAAACTCATGAGGTGCATTTAAGGTACAGTAAGTAGTGACCTGTTACATCAATAATTGTACTGTGAAGTACAGAAACCCTGACACACCATGTGATTTTCTATGACTCACCTGTTGTATGAAAGTGTCACACCGGCTACCTTGGCATTCTCGCAGCTCATTGCGAAGAAGAACAGCGACAGGAAGTAACCGATCAGAGATGTGCCAAAGGCCAACCTGGCTGCTCCCATGATGTTCAGCTTAAGCCTCTTCATCAGTAGCCCTCCAGAAAACATCCCCAGTGCCACAGCTGGGATATTGATCACACCTATCAAGAGTGACAGCAAAACACAAGATCAATATTATATGAAACGAAATGTTAAAGCTTAATCTGGATAGGAAAAAGACAGACAATATAATCTAACTTTTCACACTTGCTAAAACCGAGAGGGATAAAATAAGTCTCTTCTCTTACATGTACTTTCATTTAACATCAATCTGAAGACATGCTCTTTTATCTACACCCATGTCATTTGCTCTGGTCACTAATATTGCATTCTCTTTCATATGCAGCCAGTCTATTCAATGCAGGCACCTCCTTTGATGAGACCAGATGCAAAGACTTTCATCTTGTGGTATCAGCTTCATTAGATGTTTCATTTTATATGCAAAGCACTTTCCATATCCACTAAGCTCACCTCTCTGCAGCTGTTGCGGTTTGTAGGCTGCATTACAACCCAGACCCAGTTCTCCTATCTTTAATGATATCTCCCCCTTCATCATTTTTTTTTTTTTTGCTTTATTCAACAAATGCAAAATACCATAAATTAACTGGGAACACAACACTGACCTGTAGTTACATTATAATAAACATAAACATGTTAAATATGTAAGCTTTACAGTGTATGTTGTGTACGTACGTCACACTAAAATTGATTTGAGATAACTAGGCAAATGCAAGCAGAAAAGCCTTTCCTGGGTCTGTTATGTGCCGATTTTCCAGGTTGTATAATAGACAAATCATTTATGTGACACGGACCACATGTGCCATACCCATGAGAAAGTTGGCCTTTGAGGCAGACTGCCTGAAGTGCTGCTCGATGTACTTGGGCTTGTAGGTGACCATGCCAATGAGAGAGTTCAGCTGGATGATTGTCACACACAGGTAGATCAAATACACAGGGTGTCCCAGCAGAGTTCGCAGGGTAGGAATAAAGTCTGGAGAGGGATAAAAATCTGAGTTGAAACACACCTGTCCAAAAAAATATGCAATTTCTCGATGTAAAAGTGACTACTGACTGTAAAAATCTCTGATTATTGCTATGATATGAAGTTTGCTTTTTCCGTCTACGTGAAGTATCAGGAAGTGAAGGAGTATTGTATGTGGTGACTTTCAATTTAAAGGTAGCCCATGGAATTTTTGGGCACTAGGAGCAATGTTTTTACGTATGGATCTGCATTTTGTTTGTATTGTGCACACTCAAGCACATGGTCGTCACAATTCACATCCTTCTGTTGGTGCCACACTATTCCGCTGATTGACAGTTGGTGACGTTAACGCTTCAACAAACCTGGTAATGCGCCAACAAAGGCAGTGACCAAGATTTCTAGCGAGTAAACATACATATAAATATGACAAATGTGAACATTTCACACTCATTGTTAAATGACTACAAACCTCTATATCCATCCTTACCTTTGGCCATCTCTATGAATGTAGTATTTTCTTCTGTAGGATACTTGTGCTTCAGAAGAGGAGGGTCTTTAATGAAACTTGTCTGCTCTGGCGTGCATTTCTCTGGGCCCTGGGGCCCTGATACGGGTAGGGGTAGGGAGCGGGGCAGAAACCAGAATGGGATAGCAGAGAACAGGGTGATGACCCCAGCTATGAGGTAGCCCAGCCACCAGGCCCCCACCCAGCGAGAATCTGCTGGGGTGATGGTGATAGTTTCTGTGTTGGGCGTACAGATGATGTAATAAATGCTCAGTGATACACATATGGATAAACACAGATCCTGTATGGTTTAGTGGGATCATTTAATAATATGATATGCAGTTTTTTGTATACTTTCTAAAGCTTACTGAACTCTCTACGCTTGACTGGATACCCAAATGAAAGGATGCAAAGATGGACCAATGAGGCCAGTTTCGACCATAAGGCATAACAGACTTCATCAGAACAGCCCTAACAACCTGTAGTCAGCCTTTTCATAGCTACAATTTCTGAAATCAAAAGCCCAACATGGAATTCTGTCATCCTTTATAGCCTTGGTTAGCTTTTTTTAATAAACTTATTTTCATCACCAGGGAATGTTTTTATTTTATTGGTTTATTAACTGGTCTTCTCATAAGACTTGTTTTGTCATTTTTTCCTCCGATGCTCCTTTTTTCCTTCTTGTTTTCTGTTGCTGGTTACATTCCCTCGTTCCTGTGTTTATCTCTCTTCTTTTCTGTCTTTTCTCTCTATAGTTCATTTCATTTGCTACTTTTCTATTTGTCTGTCTTGGTTCTCCTTCTCCGCCTGCTGCACTCTATTTGATTGTAGCGTATCACTGGGCTTTGTCCTTCTTATCGCCCACCGTACCTTGTTCATTAGCTAATTGATGCTACTCCTGTACACCTGCTCTGGGTCTGTGAGTCATACATATCCTGCCTGTGATCCCCCAGTAATTACATCTGATAATATCATGCCTCAGTTTTATGAATGAACAGGTCTTTTGTTCAGAGCAGACATTTTAATCTGTAAAGGTTGAAAAGTTCAGGTTTGACAAATATCATTACCGATGACTCTGTTCTACTCAAGTGTCCCAGACAGACATGACAGTGAGATGGCATGCAATGTACCAGGACCCTGAAACCAGCTTCAGCCATCATTCATTGTATTACTTATACCGGTGCTTTTCAACCTGTGACAAATGTATTCCATGAAAAATACCTACTTTACATTTTTGGCCTTGAGAGAATTCTACTAACACTTAAATCATATCTAAATTATTTTATTACAATGTCTGAGTTGTGACCCACATACAGATTTTAGAGTTGCCAATAAGTCAAATATACATCTGTTAAAAAACTATTGTCAGCTGTCATGGTTGCCTTACTGGTGCAACAGTGTAGCCTAATAATTATATTACATTATGACAGTATTATAAAAGATTGAATCTGACCTGAGTAAGTGTGTGAAACCGCAAATATACAAAGGGTTTTCCCAACTTATTCTGGTCACTAATATTACAGTGTCTTTCATAGGTAATTATGATACATACTGTCAGAATATTCCAAATTATGACTTTATAAAACAAGAAGCTTCCTAAGATGGGTTGATGTTGTAAGAAATTTAAGAAATGTAATGCTCTTTAAGAGTCTTGGATGAGGGATTATTGACAACATTTCACATATTGGTCTGGCCTTAAAATATTTGGACATGTATTTATGTTTAAACTCACCCATTTTTACAAATCCAATGTCCACGTAGATCTTGGCACATAGGGAGCCTAACAGGTAGCCAAACACAGGTCCAACCACTGAAATGGTCTGCACACAGCCTAGGATACGGTAAACACACCCACAGAGAAACACAACACACAAGCCGTTTAGGATTCTAGCCATGTGTATTAACAACTGAGACACTGTAGATAGTACGCAAACAATATACTACAAATTGTACATACACATTGATTTACATCTCATCTGCTATTGTAGAACACTAAAGGGATTTACCGCCTTGCTAATATCTGAGCAAAACACCACCACATATGGCAGAGCTTTCAGCAAGCATGGCATTATTGTGAGATACTGTATTGTGCTCCGAAGAAGGCTGTGCTGGCTGCTTCACACGAGGGCTGCAATAAGCATAAAACATCCATATTTTCTTAACGGGCTTTTACTCTGGAATGACCGTCCTTTGACTGTTTGGATTTGCTACCAAAGAGCACATTTGCTCACAGTTTTGTGGACTACAAAACATTCCAAACATTATTCTGCCTTTTTAAAGCTTTTTAGTACTTGAGTAGTAGCAATAATAATAAGTAGCTGTAGTATTTGATCAAGTATTGTGACCTTTGTCTCAGACTATTAAATCAGCTAATGTGACACTAATACCACACTTCTGGGCTCCTTTAGTCTGGGCATGCATATTGCCTTGGGTGTTTCCGCAGTGTGCTGTGGTGAGGACTGCATAGAAAATATGCTTTGCTTATTGTAAAATATCTTATGACATCAAGTTAGGCCTATTAAAAAATATCAGAGAGTATATAGCGTGATCATTTTGTCTGGTTTGTATTTGAATGGATCAAAGATATGTTTAACTAACATCAAGGTGCGTCTCTACAGAACCCCTGTCAACTGATTATTTTTGGTGGAGGTGTAAACACTTCAGAAATTACTTTTGTGGATCATCCATGTAATATCATCAATGATAGAGTGTGTTTACTTTTTAAGTATATCTCTACCACTGGGTGAGATTTTCCTTACCAACATATAGCGCGGCATTCTCCTCAGGAGCAAAATCATCTATATAAGAGATCCCAAGTGGCTGAACAGGCGTCTCTCCAATCCCCCGCAAGACATTTCCCAGGAGCACATAGATCCACATAGACAGGTTGGAGTCCCCCTCACAACCTGGAGGAAAAGATGAGTGCAATCTCAGACATGTTTACTTGTCAACACTAGTGTGTGTATGTGTAAAAGTGCTCACTTGTGGCTGGCACTTGAGGCAGTTTACCATCTTGAGTCAGGTCTGCTGGTGAGCCCACCGGACAAGGAGAGGGGTTTTGTGTTGAGTTCACTACCCACCGCACCGATGTTTCGAATTCATAGCTGTACACAAAACACAAATGGAACTGTTAGAATACAGGGGATGGAGAAGAAATAAAAAAACACAGCCAAGACTCAGTGGAACAGCAATATGTTTGACCTGGTATAGTGTGACCCAGTTACAGTGCTATACAAGGTGCAGTAATATATTATGGAAATGTTCATGTGGTGTCAATCAGACTTTATCTAATTGGTTAGTGATACAGCATATTGTATAAAGAGTCTTGTTGTGGATCTGATTTGGTACAATAATATTTGGCACAGCTTGTTAAGAATAATTTCATTAGATATTTACAAGACTGTAAATCCCATCAACAACAAATCAAAATTGCCACAGATTAACAAAGGTGCTACAGGATGTAGCTCCTGGGAAGCTTTTATTGATGGGTTGGAAACTCAAGCTTTACTTGTATTAAATCTAAATGAATTCAATGTTTTTGTGTTTATTTTAATGCATTTAAAAATAAACAAGTACCTGAGATTTAGTGTTTAGTTGAAGTCATACAACAACCAGGCTTTTTAACTCACCGGCCGATGATGAAGTGAGGCAGAGCGATAATGAAGGTGCCAATGGACATCAGTACACAACCCATTGCAATGATCTTTGGCCGATGGAGCTTGGCCCCGAAGTAACTGACGAAAGCTATCACCAACAGGTTACCTGTGAGGAAAATCAGGATTTAACTAGTGCTACTGTACATCTCCACACGATGAAGAAAGGGCAGGAGTTTAAGGACATTGCGAGAAGGAACACAATCATTGCTTCATTATATTTGAGTTATACAGACGTGGCTATGTAAGGGTTCACACATGCATTTGTGTGTTTTTTTTATTATACTTTTATATATAATGATAACTATTTGTGTGTGCATTGAAAAATATTTTTGTTGAGCGACTAATTTGTTTTTAGCTTATACAAGCACACATCATATTGTTTTACAGAAAGAAAAGATGATTGTATTTTGACATAAAAAAACTTAGAAATTTATTTTTTTGTAAATAATTTTGCATATTTTGTAGGCACTCAATTTGGGATAAAAATATATATTTGATTTCTCAACTTTTTTATCTACAGTATGTAAGTACATGCTAAGAATTATTCGTGCAGCATTTACAAGAATGTGTGTGTATACATCAGCTGGGGCCAATCAGTAAGAATTAAAAGTAAGAATTAAAGGAGATCCTAACATCAAAATCTCCAAGAAATAATGATGCTGTCAGTCGTTAGCACTCTGTACTCTTCTTTTTTATTCTTTACTTCTCTCTTTGTCTTCTATCCGCTCCGCTCTGCTCTCCTCTCCTCTCTTGTTTCTTGCACTTTCCTCTCTCCCCCTTTTTCTTCCCCCTTCACGCCGCTCTGCCTCTATGTTACCCTGGTAACAGTCTTATAGAAAAAGCGTGTTGCCTAGACCACGTGAGAGAAACCGCTTTCACAGGAGATGGAGAGATACGGAAGGAGAGCGATCTGGGGTATTTAACTCTGACTGCACCTTTTCTGTCCAGCATATACACTCCTTCTCCATCAGAGTAACAGCAGTCTGCACAATCCACCATCAATTTAATGTTAATTATTCTTCACTACTATCGTGTCAACATGGGCTGAAACCGCCTCCCTGACAGCAAAATCACAGAAATACCGTGGATTATGATTTTTATCTTGTATGAATCATGTCTCAGGGTCTCGTCTCACTCTTCAAGCTTTGTATAATTCATAACCACCAAAAGACACTTTAGTTGAATGGAATAGCCTTACATAACTGACCTAGGAACTGGTCAGGGGACAATCTTGTAACACACTTTGCTGAATGTTATCAAGAATTTCTCAGGGTTAAAATGAACCACAGGTTACATACAGTACATGCAGAAGTTGTGGAATGTACTGTATACAGCAGTGATGCAAGCCAGATCTACTCACTAGCTGTACAATCACAAAGCAAACCTGTGGTTTGGTCCAATAATTTAAGTCAAACTAACTAAGAATCAGGTATTTCAACACAAGTAAATAATAAATGGTCCCTGAAAAAATGAAAATCATATTCCCCGCATTCGTCATCCTTGTTAAAACCTGGCGCCTACATTTCCCACAATGCAACTAAACACAGTCGATCTCAGAGTTGGGTGTGTTATGCTAGTAGCGACTGATGTAGCCTTGAGCTGCTAGCCTCAAGCAGAGATGAGAAGCAAGCTGCAGAGGTCTGCTAAGCTCACTTCTTTCTAACTTCATACCCCCAGATTTATTGTTATTGTATTCTTCAGCTCCAACTGACACTGACTCCAGTGACGTCACTTGAGGACAATAACACAACGCAGACTTCAGACAGCCCCCTCTGGAGCCACCAAAGGCTTTATACAACTTTCCACATATGACATAGTACTCAGCAAGAGACCTGTTAACAGACTTTGATGTATAAAATCAGTTGAGTTCACCTTTAAAAGCAGCTGCTTCATAATTTTGCAAATTTCCAGGTGGACTGGGATTGGCATAACGCCCTGAGACACAGTTTCAAAATCACATATCTTTCGCTTTTCTGAGAAGCAATTTCTTGTTACTCGTGAGCAAACATATACATGGACACACCTATAGTATCTGAGATGAGTAAAAATTGGCTGATAGTATCAGTCAATATGCTCTGATAAGGAAAATTGCTTTTTATCCATTTTTTTTTTATCACTTTTTGCATCTACCTCATTTTGTATTGAAAAGATTATTTGTCTCTCAGATAATTTGTCACTAGTGAGTGGGACAGAGAAGGGTGAATGCGATATTTTATGTAAATATCTGCACAGAACAGTTTGTGTTGCACTTACAAAACATGTTTTTTAAAGTTGGTAAATGTCAGCTGAATTCCCATGTATATTATTATAGTATAGAGACGTTATCGCATAACAAAACCTTACAAATTATTGAGTCCGACTGTCCACAGCAAAGAGAGAGCTTGGAGCCTGCTCTGTCCCTGCTTGACACCATGACTCACTATACACACACACACGTGTACACACACACACACACACACACACATTGCCCTGTCCTCTTCTTGGAAGCCTGATGAATCCTTTATCTGCAGCTGAAACACCTGAGTGACCCATTCATGTTTCCGTCCCAAAGACAGAAAGAGAGAAGGGAGGGGAGCCCATGAAACAGAGGCTGCGAACAGAACAACAACATAACAACAGTGACATGGCAGGTCTACTCACCTATCTCGAAGCTCCCATCAATGACACCTATTAGGTAACTGGGGATGTCAAAGCGCCTCTCCAGCTGAGTTATTGTGCTCTTCATGTAGCTCCCCGACAGAGCCTTTGCAAAATAGGCAAATGACAAAGCCACCACAAACATCTGGTAGAGGAGCGTGAGATGAGGAAAAAAAGAGAGAAAGGGAAACAAAGAAAGGGAATTTACATTAACATGCACTAATAATAATCTACTTGATTGAATGATGTTCACGCTTGTGTTTTGTCCACTGGGAACGAACAAAAAACGATGAATTCATTGATAAACAAGGGAAGGTAATCCATGTAGGATGGACAGATTTGCAGTGGGGCTTAATGGAAGTTCCTCATAATAAAATAAGTCAAAACCAATGCGTGACAACAAATGACAGGCAGCTCAAACTTTGCAACCAATAGCTGAGACAGAGAAAGAATCCCCATGGATATATATTTTTTTCATCTTGATTGTTTTGAACTTGTGCTATAATGAGACTGAAACGCTGTGAGCCACCTCCAACAGTGACTGGGACCAGATCAACAATTCTCACAGAGTTATGATCAAAGGCAATCTAATAAACTCATGCATTCACTGATGACAGAGGTCCAAAGAAAACACACACATTCAGTTTCTTTAGTCCCAACACCTATATTTTTACTTTTGTCTTTTTTTGACTGAGAGGGAATTAAATGAGACCAAAAAGAATACATTTACAAAATGTGTTGAGTCTGTTTGTTACTGGATACAACAGTCGCAATAACTTACACATTCCAATTCACCTCCAATGCAAGAGAAACAGATTATAAATACTCAACACATTGGGAGATATTCTTATTGACAGTTGTTGTTTTTTCACACAGAACAGATCCTAAAATAATCAATCTTTAAAGAGCTGTGATCTACTTGAACTACCATCAAGCTCCTCTTCTGTGGAACCTGCTTCCCGTTTCAATACTAGGATACACTTAGCTCCTCATTCCTCTTCTCTCTCTCCTTCTGTATTAATTTATGTCCCATTAATGCACATTACTAACTTTACTTTACAACAAAATACAGTGGTGTCCTTCAATGAAGGAATAAAGTCTTAGTTGTCCCCAGCTTTGCTTCTTTATCCTCTGTACATTTGTGGTTGCATTTACAGTATATGTTTTGGGATGTTTATGATTTGGTGTGTAGATCATCATTAAAACTGTTCTTAAAGAGAACACAAAATAAACAGTTTAACACAGAAATAGAAATAGACTAGTTTAATCTAATCTAGAGACACGTTTGCCCCTATACTTGTACTTGTAGTGTGCACATGGCCACACAACTATTTTTCTTTTACTCATGCTTCCTTGATTCTCTTACTGCTCATTGATTCTCATTCCACTTCATATAAGTACTTGCTCCTTTTTTTACCAATTTGCCTTGAAAATAAAATGACAGAGGTTTCACACGGAGTTTGACAAGAGGAGAATAAAGGAGAATAGTCTAATATTGTTCAGTCTCCCTGAATGCTTGTAAATAAGTAATGGTTTGTGGCCTTTGTCATGGTTCTTGTACTGCATCTCATCCCCTTACTGAGTATCCAGTACTGTTGTAAGAAAAGCAGCGCACACGACAGTCAATTTACACAAACGATCAGGCAAAGACACATGGTTTGGAAGTATTATTCACTTATAACATATCCCAATAAAATCGCTCAAAAAGTGCAGACAATCAGTTTGACCTTGTGAACATTTAGTGGTAGTTGAATTAGAGGCAGCTGACTATGCTAACCGCGCTGATAAAACCACATTAACAAAGTTAGAGAGGGAAAGAGAAGCATTGGGTAGAAGTCTATTCAGCATGTACGACAACAGTTGTGTGATAATCAGGAGTTTTACTGTAACAGCTTGTCTTATACAAAGTGTCCATTTACATGCAAACAGACCTCTGTAGAGATCATGCTAACCACCAGTCCCAACTGTGGGGCATTAACGAAAGTAGCTCATTACATGTGCATTTCCTGGGGGGGATTAACGTGCAAGCAAGCATGCATACAATTAACGTTTACCTCCCAAACAAGGAAAAGGCTTTTCTTATTTACTATTTCCAGTCTACTTCTCACTCATTTTGTTGGTGAACTTGTGCACTTGTAAGGAATTGTCAGTAAATCCAGTGGTTGCTTTCCTCCAAACCCATTCTTAGTCAAATTGTTTTAGTTATTCTATTTGACATTTAAAGCTGTTTAGGTCAGCGCAATATGCTCAAATTGACACAAACTCTGCACTAAAATGTCAATTTTGGCAGACACAGGTGTATTAAATTCTGCTGGCACCTGTTCAGTTATGTAGTGGCTCACTATGACATTGTTTGTACCAGAGTGGGTAACAGAGTCCGTTTAGAAACTCATGTTTGCAAAAATAATTTCGATATCAAAGATACTTTTACATTTGAACTTTTTTGAACTGTTCTCAGATGACACATCTTTTTTTTCAGTTGACTCATCAACCGCAACCTCTTAATGTGCCATGGCGGGGACAACACTGCTTTTAAAGGAAATGGGAACAGATAAGTTCTTTCGGATGGCTGATGCACGTCAGCCCCTCACACACATTCCCCTCACATTTATAATTTTTTGTAAATTAATTGTAGTGTATTTTTATATTTGTTATTCGATATTTTCCACTTTAGAGTAAATAAAAAACCTGAGACAGAAATAGCATGTTGTTACCTTCTGACAGAGCCAAGCTAGCTGTGTCACCCTGTTTCCAGTCTTTGTGCTAAGCTAAGCCAACTGACTGCTCGTTGATGCCTTACATTTAATGGACAGATGTATTCTCATATTCTCAGAAAGACGGCAAAGTAATTACTTTCCTTATTGAGTACATCATGAGTCATGAATTACCTTTTCTTAAAAACATCTTGCTCATTTGGGGATTTTCAACAATGGTATGCATTGTGAGATTTTCATTCTGTTATTTTAATTGGTTTTAGCAAGTGCCAAATAAGCAGTGGCCTCTTTGGGATCAAAGGTCATTGAAAACGGATTCACAGTAAGTGTGTTTGAAAATTTAAACAAAGCCTCCTCCTGACCTGCGATTAGCTTCTGTTCTTAGCTCATTGATGTCACACACCACGCTTAGACTCACCTCATGAGTCTGCCGCATACACCGTTTTCTGTTATTTGCAGGAGTGACGTCAAAAAGCAGAAAATAAGTTATTATACAATGCATAACATGACTAGAAAGTGTTTAGGGAGTTGAGATGGTGTTTGAAGCAAGAAAAGAATGAGAAAAAAAATGCACCAAAGTTCTAGTCTTTTTGATGGAATTAACAAAAAAGCAGAAAATATCACAGAGCACAGGATTAGAGTCGATGCCATGTCCCACCCAGCCGGTCAGGGAATCAAACAATTCTGAGAAGAAATACAAGTCTGTCCTACCACCACAGTCTGTATTATCATAAGCTGCTTGAACACCATTGTCTCACATGACTTTCATGAAGGGGGAAAGCAACAAGATTGTCTGATATGTCTGATCCATTTTTTATTTTTTTGAGAAGGTTGTTTGAAGGTGGAGAAAGAAAAGAGAAAGAAGAAAAGCCGTAGGTGGTCTATTTATAACAATATGAGATTTACTGATGTTCTGGCTTATTTTCTTACTGAAATAGAAAGCCATTAGTTTAAGTTTGCTTAATTAAAGGGTCTTTTGATTTCATGTTCACAGTTATACATAATACAAGGGCTGTGGCAGGATATCTGTTTCCCTAAATGCAATAGACATATCATGAGTTATTTGAAGGGGCCTTTTTAAAAGTTTGGAAAATGTTAACCTTTATTCGGAAAACTTACATTTTTTTTTATTTTCCCATACATTGTGTGTAAGTGACAAATGTGGACAACTTTTTTTTCAAACTAGTCCAGTAATGAGTGGGTCTGCAGCAGGCAGCAGCAAAACAGGTTGTTCTGAAATCTTAATTGGCATCCACATTGTCAAAATCAGCTTTGTAGTGTCTGCCGGCTGCAGAGCTAACGCTCAATACAGTACCAAGTTCAAAAATAATTTTCTCCATTTGTCCTTTAGACACAAAAACATGGGAAAATAGGCTCAAGGTTGAAACTACATCAGTACATCACCTATGTAGGTATTCAGGTATCAACTGCTGCTGTAGTCACAAGTGACAATTATTGGATAATGGTACATGCTAAATATTATGGATCAGTAGCAAAAGTAAAAGAAGAGTATTGGGGCGCCCTGGTGGCCTAGGGGTCAGCAAATTGACTCATTCATGTTTGTTGTACACTAATGTCACATACAAAACATTAGCTAACATTAGCCACCTAAGCTACTGCTCAGTGAACCGTCAGCTTTTTCTTTAAAAAGTTGTACATATGTCTTGCTCAAATAAATTAACTATACCAAACAAATAGTGAATCCCTGACAGTGCATGCTCTGAGGATGTGTTTCCACTACTTTCATTGACTTAAGGCAGCCCATCCCATCTGAAGTTTGAATTTTGTCACAGCAGGAGCCCAATATTATTCTGTTCAACTATGTTCATGACAGTTAGCTACTGTAATGCATAAAAGTTACAGTTGACTCTTAATCGCCACTTTCTGCATCTGCTTCACTTTACAGATAAAGAACAATTATTTGAAACTTTCCCAGTTCAAAATGATGAAGATCGTGTGATATGATCAACAGCTCCAGAACAAATTCTAAATGAACCTTGTTTTGTCAATTGCCGTCTTTTGAGCCAATATGAAAGAAAAATCCTTGAAGTACTAAGAACAGCTGAGCAAACTCCATCTGCTGTTTAAGATCCTGTGATAGGACTGAGAGATCAAGAATAGCAACTACAGTAGGCCTTTCTCTCACCTTTGAGATTGTTTTATCAACTGCTATTCCAAGCTCAAAAATGAACTCAGATATGCTTATGTCTTTGACAAAGAACAAAAAAGGAGAGTGGATCTGAAGTGTTTTGTTTTGTGAGCAGAAAGGAAGGAAGGAAGCATCAGCACTCTATAGCCTGACCTTCTTCCAGAATTCATTTGGCCGAAGGCAAGGATTTATATAAAAGTGGCTACAAGATAAGTGCCAAGAAAACAATTGTGCAGCAGTGTGGTGGAAAACTCATTCCAGTCAAGATAACTTATACAGTATATGGGTATATTCATTATTTAGAGAAAAAGCAATTTGCTGGAAACCGGTACAATGACTGTTTAGAGTTAAATGTTTAGGTGCACTCATCGTAGCATTTACAAAACGTAGCTATTCCAGGTAGTGAGAAATGAAACGGCATTATGGGTCAATAGCACAGAAGCCACACAGGTAACATTAGCATGTAGCATGAGCATATACTGTATGTTAAGAGCACAGAAGACCACTCATTCTGTATATTACATTAGTAATGTCAGCAAGACCTTTTAAAACCCAGACATAGTGACCGGTATATTTGCCAGATGTATACAGCCAGATGTGCAAAATGCAAAACCTTGTATTAGACGACTACAGTGTACAAATAGAATAACGATCCACTTCCTCTGGTATCCTATGACTGTGCATTATTAAGACAGAGAGGTTAAGAACTATCAGGTTAAAAACTACAACATCCCTCACTGACACACACATCACCCTTGTGGAAGTGACTGTTTGAGCTGTAATTTGGTTATTTACTTAGTACAGGTCTCTACACACAGAGATGCATGCAACACACACACACATACGGCATCTACAAGCGAAATAGGGGTCAACTGAAACACCTTCATCCTTGACATGATAACCTGTGTACCTTCAGGCTTCTGCAGGGAGAGGAGTGCGGTTCTCTGGCCGTGGCGTCGCTGCGTCCGTTCCCCTGAGAGCGTCCTTGCTCAGCTCCCACGTCCATCATTCAGAAACGTCTCTGTGTCTCCTTTGCAGAAGTCCCCCACGTAATGCAGCTTCTTGGCACTGATGCATGCAACCCTACAAATGGATAATTCAAGCATGTGACCCACTTCTCATCCTCTGCACACAAACAGCCATGCGCCGGCCGAGGGGACACACAGACACAAACAATAGTCCCTGTATGTGTTCTCGAGATCTTAAGACTTAAATCACAACTAAACATTTTAACGACACAGTTGATGTGTGCACTCTTTTAGAATAAAAGGTTTTCATTGTTTTTTTTTTAGCCACAGTATCAGAACTCTGAGATAGCATTCCTACATATCACAACAACATGCTTTGTTGTATTGTTCGGCCGGTAACTGACAGCATGTGATAAAAACGCTATGAAGCAAAAACCCGGGTTGTGAAGTGTGGTAATAGAATTAAAACAAAAATCTACTTAAGAAGATATTCGATTTACTATAAGATTGATATGGTGAACATCCGTTGCTTTTAAGACAGGAACTACTCACCATCAGTGGGGAAAGGTTTTGTAACCAGCGTGAAAATATGTGTCCGAATCTCACCAATACTGACAGCACTGCTGTTTCATATACGCTCTCATGTTCACTCTATTGGCAGTGATCTGCCTATGCCATGTAAGTTGGTAGGAGGGAAATGGATGTAACTTATTACGTACTGGCTACTATTCATGTTTTGTTTTGTTTTTTCCCAACATCTGTTAATAAGGCTATAGGAATGCAAAAAGTAGTATGAGTGCTCAGGTTCACCAAACGCAGTTCTGATGCAGAGCCAACATGGTGCCATTTAACTAAGCTTGGCTCGTCTTTTTGGCTACCTCCACTACCTTTTAATATCTTTTTTTTAACTGGCAAACATGTATGCATGATGTGTGGAATACATGTGTTGGACTTATGTTGCATATAAATATTAGAGGTGTAATGTAAACAAATATATAAATAAGGGAAAGAGTGCCATTGTTTGCCACATGGTTGTTTTGTAGGCAGTACATGGCGAAAATGCAACAATGGCTGGATGATGTAAATGTACTTTACTTGAACCACTTTAACTAGCATGGTATTACCGACTTTAGGTGTTGTGCCAATATGTTCCATAATGAATTTGCAGCAGGAAATTCCTGAGCCAACCTATGCAGTATCCATGCAGTGCTTGTGAACAGGGCCAAAGCATGATTGTGGAGTGGCTCCAATGAACAAAAGAAAGGCAATACTAAAAACACTCACATATGCTAATCATTCAGTGGTTTTATAGCTCCTGTCTAAAGTAGGAGTTGCTGTTGTTTGAACTATGTTCAACATTTAGGTTCCTATTCTGATAACCCATGTAAAGTTTGGAAAGAAGCCTTAGTGTTTTCTGATCTGATCCACTCTTTTGCTACTCTATTTACCTCAAAGACAATAGAGTTCAATACTCCCTTGCAAAGCTGTTTTCCTATTTGCGGATGCAAAATCAACACTTCCTGGTAGCAGCTGCTTCCCAGTAAAAGCCTTCCAGCGGTGCTTTTATACTTCATACCTTTTGTCTCCTTTCACCTCGTCCTCCACCTCTTTCTTACTGACCTCTATCTCTCCCTTTTAATGAATACTTTCTTCTAACTCTTCACATTCATCTTTCTTATTTTACTTATTGCCCTCTCCTCCCCCCTCAGTTCATTTCCAGTAGTGATGTGACACTATGAATGTAATTGCTCAAGGGGACGAGTTTAGTGAAGGCCATGCAGCAAAGAACACAACCACATTACCATCCCCATTTCTGTCAATGATACGGAATCTAGTACCAAATGTAACACGCTCTGATTTCTCCCTGAATAATTTTTGTCTTGAAGACCACAACAACGGGTTTGACCTACTTTCAAGGAATTAGAACAGCAGCTTTAAGTAGGCCAATATGAAGCAGTAGTGCACTGCTTTATCCTGTGTACCACGAATGATTCTTCTCATTTGAACCTCTTTCTCTCATTCTCACTCAGTACAGTACAACATTTTTCTGTCAATGTTGTGTAATGTCTGGACTTCTTTATTCAGACTCAAACTTAGTCACTGCAGCAGGGATGAAAGTGGATCATTTCATCCACGAGACCACCAGGTTAGGGTGACTTGTTCTAATTATATAGTAAAAATAAATGATATAGTATATGAATATATGTCACAAGCCTAATTACTAGCGTCAGAGCTTTAACTCAAGCTCTGTAGCCGCAGCAAGAGGATCCCTGTGCTTAGTGTATCTTTACAATATATTGTTCTCAAAGGTTAAGAATGCAAATACATGCTCAAATCACAACCTTGCATTCACTGGTAATACTGGTTATGCTTTGCTCCAACATGTTTCATGCTGCTGCAACACATTGGTTATTATTAAGACAAGGGAGTTCTGAAACATAGAGTGATAGTAACTGTACCTAAGGAAGAAGAGAGCGAGCCAATAAGCAACATCAGTCTCTCACTCTGTGACATCTGAAGTCACTAAACAGTTCATTAGTATGATAGAATGAGCACACTTTGCTTTGCATTTAGTGTTCCTGTCAACAACAACAAATGTAACCAATGAGGAAAAACAAATTAATTTTTTACAGTATCATATAAGCCCCCGCTGATTGCAGTAAATTAAACTCAGATAAAACCCAAATTTAGTGTCACTAGTCAGTTCACTTGTAACATAGGCTTTGTTTTTCAAGGGTGTGCCCCTTAAAGACCCCTTGTAATCAGCTAAGATAGAATGCAGCTAGAAAATGCCATACATACTGAATAAGGCAAGCGTTATGTGTGAATAGTTGCTGTTGTTCACAGATCTTTCCTTTATGTAAAAAATACATGTAGGAGTAAATGCAACTTATTTCATTCCATGTCAAGCACTGGGGCCAGCATGAACTGACGCCCACCCTCCTCAGAGTTAAATGTGGTCACCACATTACTTCCCTTTCTCTATAAACATAGATATCACAATGGCAATAATTAAAAATTAACATTATCATACCAAGCATGAACAGCAAATGGCTGTTTGTGCTGCTGACTCCCTCCACCAGCCCAGACTCCTCCTTCATCTCTTGCTTATTAATAATTATATACATGAAATGGTATTTGTCTTCTCTCTCATATACCTTATTACACATCTCCACACAAAATGTCACTGCTCTGTATATCTCAAGGGGTGTTGACTGAGCTCCCCGCTGTATCATTAGTATTCTGCTAAAGGGCAATATACATGTGGTTCTATAGATTCATGATGTCAGAATAGCCAACTGAATTTACTGAGAAGTATAGGGTGCAGAGCAGGACTATTTAATGAATACTTTAATGCACACAATATTCCATCAATTAAAATGCATGTTCAGAGAAAACTAAACATGAAAATCACTAATTTGCACAAGGAAAGCTTTTGAGATTATTTAATGAAAATATTTCACAGGGTTTACAGCCTAAATGTTATTAAGGCACTCACTCAACACATTAGCCGGGCAATGTTGCCTTCAGTATGGAGTGATGGGTATTGGTGGAACGAAACAGCAATACATTTAGCCTAACCAGTAAAAAACAGTGTTTTACTACAATACTGTATATGATGTTTCACATGTATAATTTTCAAAACTAGCATGTATTTGCAACAATTGCACACTTACAATGATCAGTCTATCTGTCCGGTCCATTTTTGGTAACGCAGTATCTCAGGTACACCTAAAGGGAATTTACACAAAGTTCGCAACCTGCACTCAAGGATGAACCAGCGCCCCTACACCAGGATGCTTTGTCGGTACAGCAGGTGCCTTGAGGTGAATTCCCCCGTCCACATTTACAGCCTGTTCACTGTTGACCAATGCTGTTCCCTACATGAACGTGTATCACAGTTCATAAAATAATCAAAATAAGCCTACGTTTTCATTAAAATACTCTTTCCACTCGGATGAACATTTTCTGGAGGAATCATTGGCCTTTAATTCGATATTAATTATTCACAACACATTAAGTCAAAAAGTGGTAGCCTACCTATAAAAATAAGTGCAATGAAGTCAGATTGTGACGGCGTAATAGCGCAGACACACGAGACAAATGCCATTTTTCATTAGACATTCTAATTAGGATTTCAAACAAATAGCACCAGGATGAGAAGGACGCACCACTTACCGCGCTGTCCTGTGAAACAGTCTTCCAGTTGCTTGAGCTACAAATATTTACCAGCCAATCGGAAACACGGGAAGCCTCCCTTCAACCAGCTCCGGTCAAACTTCTCATGGGAAGGAAAGCGGAGGAGATGCGTCGACTCTTCTCATGAATGCTCTTACACCGACATGTATCTCCAGAGTTCATTTCCAGCCGACTTCACGGTAACTGCCAAGAAGACTAACCCAGATCAAATGGGGATTGTTATCTCCTGAAACATTTTTCTGGTTGGTGTTCATCCGTGAAACGCAGCTTGGAGATATGTAACGCACCCCGGCGAGGTGACCCCTACTGCTACCTCTATTTCTCGAATTGATTCTGCAGATGGATGGGCTTCAGTGGAACAGTTCTCTCGCGTTCTCCTCTCTTTCTTTCTGTCTCCCACCTATGAGCCTCCCCCTTTCTCTCCCTCTCTCATTTCTGTACAATTCAACGAAGCTTTATTAGAATCATAGCATTTACAGTGATGTGCATTTGTCAATAGGCTGCTGTGATGTTATTAAAACACGTGGATTTGAAAGCATCATGCTTGTCAGGAAACTAAGATTTAAAGTAATAAATAACATTTGTCTGATAGCTGCGTTTTCATTTTTGATTTTGTTTATGCGATTTCATCGCTGCTGTGTATTCCCCTCTTGAGCTGTGTCATGGTCACATGGTCAGGCTACATTTTGTAATCAATTTCCCAGATTTAATTCATTCTAAGATGACTGCTTAGTCCATGTTTATAAAAGTATTCATTTTGTCTCTTGCCCTGAACAAAATTGAAATATCCTCTCCTCTTGTGCCAGCATCTGTAAAAGTCCTGCTTTCTGTTTATAATTGGCCTATCATTGAGTTCTGGATCAGACAATTCTCTTACTAATTGCATTTGCTAGAAGTGGTCCAAGTTACCTTAAAGTACAGACGCAAAAGGAATTACCCATGTTTGTTTCTTTATTGCATTGTTATTTTATTACTTGACAATAAACACTGAAGTTATCCTCTCTGCGTTTTGGGACTAGTAGGACCTCTAACTCTGACTTACTGACAAACAAAAACTCCCCCTCTAAATATCAGTTTCAGTAGAACCATCTTTCTTTAAGGGGTGTTTGTATCACACGCCTAAAGTAGTTAAATGAAAAATGTTACTTTTAACACTTAACATCTGCAGTGTAAGAAATACTGTAAATCTACTACAAAGAACTTGCACTTTGTGTTGAATTTGGCGGTCCCTGTTGACAAAAGCGGTAGTGTTATCGAGCACCAGAATCTCTTTAGACAAATTGTACTGCAGCAGGGTCTGACAGTCTGTCCAGCTATTTCCTGGTCCTGGTTCTCCCGCGTTTAACTTTGTCTATTTCAAATGTCATTCATTTTGTCATTTTATATATATGTATATGTATGTATTTAATAATATGCCTATAAAATAAATGACAAATGTCATTGGCTAGACAAATGTCGATTTTTATTCATGCTTAGTCTGAGCAATAAACGCCATACAATAGTTTAGGATTTTCAAAAACTAATTCTGCTTTCAGAAGGGTAGTGTGCAAGGTCCAGTCATGTTGATCTCAGTGCAGATGTGACTGGTGGTAAGTGGTGATCCCTCATCCTGTCTCACAAGGCTTGATTCTTATGCATGCTCATTATCCACAGACGTCCCAAGGTTAGATCCAAGAAGGGCATTTCATGGTTATTGGGAGAGAAGCATGAACGAAGGGGAGGAATTGTGTGGATACAGAAAGATGGTGAAACGGGAGGGAGGGATCAAAACAGATTCTCAGCTGATTGCCAAAGCAACATTGAATGAAACTGCCGGGACATCATCTTCAACAGGACTCACTGAATCCTTTCATTGGCAACCAAACGTCTCACTTTGTCAATTGAAAGGCATAGTTTTGCAGGCTATCATTAAAAAAAAATCTTAGTTGAGAAAATAAAAACATTGTGGTTGCTCTTGGTAGCATGGTTATTTAAAAATGGCGGGTCTGTGCAGGATGTCCCGTGTTGCGCAAAGTGACGATTCTAGTAACGATTTTTAACATCACCTTCTAGAATCGACTCAGCCGAGGTGGTACCAGGTACCAGGTACTATCCACAACTTATAGTGATGGAGAACCAAAAAACAGCAAGTCGAGTTGAGTGGAGCCGTGCTGTACCATGCAGTGGAAATGGGTAATTAGTCTACCCAGTGGATTGGAAAATGATGTCCGATGTTGATATTTAAACACACTCAAAAAATTCCAAAAGCTGAGGCAAAATTGATCAGACAAGGACCGCTTCAAAGAGAAGGCCGATTAAATGAAAAAAAAGTTTACCAAAGGGATTACTTTCAATCTCTACTAGACAGAACATTTAGTCAATTTATGAAATCCTCTGCCCTGGAAATACTAAAGACAAAATCTTAAAGATGTATTTGATGATATAGTCTTTGTAAGTTTGGAATGAACAGAAAGAGTTTCAAATCCCAGGGGTCTGCCTGTGCATACATTAAAACTCAAAATTATAACTGGCTAAGCATTAAAAAGAACATGAAGCAGAAGACAGTCACTGCAAACATTTAGTGAACATCACAACATTTCTGGCATCCTCGCATCCCACAACCTTCGGTCTCTCTCCCTTTTAGGCAGCCTTAACTTGCAATACACCAGTAGCATACAACAAGGTTACATACTCGCAACTCGACAGGCAGGAACACATTTAAGTATACAGACCCAGTTAAGTGTACATATTTTAAACATCTTGAATTTAAATTATTCTGTACAATATTTGGTCTAATGTATTTTATAGAACATACATATAATTAAATTGATTCATCATTTAATCACAATTTTAAGAAACATACAGTATATCGCACATCTCATCTCCGCTTAAGGCTATATTATTGCTACTGCATTGTGGGTAATGAAGACGCGAGACACAATTTTACACTTTAAACAAAATAGCTCAGTTTCATTTTCAATGTGGATATGCTTATAACTCATAAGTGCTAACTGAACTATGGGGTTGAAGGTAGACAGAATGACAATAGCAAGTAGCATATGTGGGTCCTGTACCAACAATGAATAGATAATGTTCAGCTGTAATGTCTACGCCATGCCATGTGACGCTGCAAAGTGACTTACTTACCAATTAGATGTACTTGAAATCAGATGGTTAGTGTATGATCCTCTGTGGCTCCCTGTCTGTCTTTCCTCTCCAAACCCAACCTGTGAAAACAGTGTTTTTGCCACAACCACAAAGGCTCAGTGGTTGGCTGCAATACTGTGGGTGTTCTCGTTGACACCGACTGCTCTCTCGATAGTGTGTAGAGCAGTGTTACTATATTTCACTTAGCTGCACTTCCATTCCACATATTGTGAGGTTAATTATGTAAAGTCTAACAGCATTATTTATTACAAAGTCATCAGCACATACGATCAGAGTCACAATTGAATAGGCAAAGAACTGTGCTTTATGTTAGTTAGGCTCGGCTAAACTGTGTGTCAAGTTGATTGTGGACCAACAGGACTGTTGAACCTTGTAACCCATTCGGTATCTGACCAAATGTGAAATATGGTCACAATATTTAGTGTATGAATTCTTGAGTTATGGCCGAAAACATGTTTTGTGAGATCACAGTTGCCTTTGACCATCAAAATCAAATCAGTTCATCCATGAGTGGACGTTTGTGCCAAATTTGAAAACATTCCCTCAAGGCGTTCCTGAAACATAACTCATATGTTACAGTGTCTAATTACAATTTAAACTTTTGAATTTTGTTTGAAACATGTCGTAAAGTCGAACAGAAACTTTGAGAAATGGCTAAAGAACCAGACAAACACGTGTGCAGCATTTATAAATCTTATTATTCAACAATATTCACATTACAACATCAACACTGCTCTGCTAGTGACAGGTTCTAATAATCCCAATATATTGTATAGTTACTTTGTAATACATTATCGAGAGGCACTTCCAGTAAGTCTGGCAATAGAGGAGCTACAGTATTGTGTCTAAATTACAAAACAGTAAAAATAAATATTTTTCTAAAAGTTTTTTGTTATAATATACTTTAGAATCTGTACAGTATATATTTTTATACAAAGTCAAACAATATCTAGAAATAAAATGTCATATTCCACTTAAACAAATACTGGTGAATCACACAATTTCCCCATCCTGTAGGTATTGCTACATGTGTTAAGTGCAAGATACTGGAGAGAAGAAAAGAATTGAATCTGTGAAGTGCCTGCCATTGAAAATAAAAACATACTAGTCTTGATTTTCTTGCTTTCAAGGTATGAAAAAAAGTTTGTTTTGGTTTCCCTTGTGACAGACAAGGAAAGCTGATGAATGTAGCATTCAAGCAATGTAGACATACATCCATACATGTGAAAATGGTATGGCACAGGAGCATAGCCCCGTTTTTAAACCAGTGAAACATCAAACAATAGAAAAAAAGGAATGTTTTTGGTATAAACCATCAAAAGAAACTACAAGGGCTTTAGTCAGAACAGTGCATCAGTTGCACTGAAGTGCTACTGCTGCCTAGTGAAATAACAACAGACAGCAAGGATAGCTCTGGTCTGTTATTGACTAAATGGTTATTATGTTGCTTTAATCTGCCCTGTCTTCACATGAAAACTGTTAAAAAATATATGCATATCCAAACGTCCTCCCCATGTTTTGGATAAAACTGACAAATAAGAAGATGCAAAACAAATGCTCCTTTGAGGGCTCATTTTGTGCAAATCACAAAAAAAACACAGTTTAAAAAGTTTCTTTGGTTTGCACAAGTTAATCCAGTGTGCAGCAATCCCCTTCTTCTCATAGTCATTTCAAATAAACCACTGACATTGGCTTTTAGAAACTAACATGATTTTGTTGTAGACCCTGTACGTTTGTTGTTTTCTGGCCCAGTTTTTACACAAAGATGAAGGACACACCAATTTTGAGAGCCAGCAGGAAGTTGATATTAGTCAAATGAAATTGAAGAGCAACACCCTCTGAAAGTCTTGTTGTTGCTGACCTCCAGTGGTTTAACTTTTCACCTTGCTGCAGTGATGTACTCACACACCCTCACTCGAGGGTGTGTGAGTACACAGTGGCATCACTGCTGGGTGTGTGGTTACAGGTTCAACAAAGACAATCCCATACCACTGATGCTGTGTGTGGTCGCAGTGAAACACTGCTTTTCAGACTGCTGATAAGTTACTTCAAACTGAGACCATGTTTTAGGCCCTTTTACTAAATCCCTTAAACTTGACATTACAAGTGACCATTTTGCAAACAATGCTGCTGTGTTTCAATTTGTCAACATTTGTTCAAATTTAGATTATTTGATCAACTGTTCCAACGAAGATCAAGTCTGCATTACTTTTTGCAAGTTGCATTGTTGTTCTGAAGTAATGCGGTGCAGACTTTTGAAATTAAACTGCCTAATCAAGCACATCAATTCAAACAAATGTTCACCGTTATGGACTGTGCTTAAGGACTTTACACTGTAGAGAAATAAATGAAAAACAATGGCTTGGCCTGGGAACAAAACATTTAGAAAATCAAAATATGTTAAGTATACATTTCTGGCAAAGACCGGCAAAAACACTGATATAGTCCTTTCATTTCATTGCAAAAACAACTGAAACCTGTTCTTAGAAGGTTGAAGGAGACAACCAGTAGGCCACTCCCTTGTTTCCCCATTTAAAAAAACCCAAATGGCTACACACAGCTTTGGATTATCAATGAAAAATATAGCAACCCCCAAATTCTACCACAGCTTTGATTAAGTCTCTTTGATTACTGCACTGTAGTGAACACAGTAAGTGAGGCAGGGCTGAAAGGGGGAGGATCAGAGGTGGGAGGCATCCATTGTGACTAACTGGAACCCTAGTGAGCTTTGAATTCTCTGATCACATGGAGTTCAAGCATAAATAAAGTGAAAGGAGTGAAAGGAAGTCTACAAATTCCCAAACATATAGGTGGAGCATGGGATGATACAAGATGTAAGATATAAGAAAAAAATTCATAGCAAGAGTATGCACATTAGACTGCAAGTGAAGCATCAATATACTGTATGGTGCATTAGGTATTTACAGTGCAGGAGCACAAGCCCCTTCATGTGGGCTCATGTGCCTGTTTACAGGAGGCAGGATGCTTGCAGAGCTTTTTACAGTATTGGTTAGTTTAAGAATGACTGAAGATTAAAAACTATGTTGCTGTACATAGCTTCAAAAAATGCTCGAGTAAAAGACTCCAGTCGATGCCTCACATGACCCACAGATGTGTCGATCAGTCGAGTATCAGCTGGTGTTTCCAGATCATTTCTACTGCTACAGGTAGACTTATAGTGACAAGCCAATGCAAGGCTATTGGAAGACATTGTGTCCAGGTGGGGACTTGGATAAATCCAACTGCATCTTGCTGCATAAGCTACAAATACACTGCTGCACTTTGTGTTGGCAGGTCATTCAGGTGCCAAGCAACATTATGGACTTTCTTTTTGTCTGAGGTTCAGGTCAAATTCACTTCAACACTGGAGGTACAATTGCCTTTTAATAAATTCACTTACAGTTTGTAAAATCTTTTAGACCACAAATAAAGCCAGAAATCTTGGTGTAGTCATGGATTCAGACTTAAATTTTGAGAGCCACATTATGACAAATACTAAATCAGCAAACTATCACCTTAAGAATCAATCAAAAGTTAAAATACTTGTGTCGCAGCAGGATTTAGAAAAACATCTCCATTCGTTTATCTTCAGTAGGCTCTCTCTAAAAGTTGATCAAACAAGCTGCAGCTGGTTCAGAACACCGAGTCCTCATTAAGACCACAAGAGACCGGTACAGTTATCAGATCTTTGCACTGGGTTCCTGTCCGTCAAATAATTTACTTTAAAATACTACCGTTGGTTTGTAAAGCACTGAATGGTTTAGGGTCAAAATACATTTCTGATCTGCTGCCTGCTGCTCCTTTGTGGACCGTCCAGATGTCTCAGATCATCTGGGACAGGTCTGCTTACTGTCGCCAAAGTCAAAACTAAATACAAAGAAGCAGCTTTTTCTGCATCGCATATCTGGAACAAACTCTTGTTTGAAAACCAGAAAACCAGTTTTCCAACTCTTTGTTCTTATAAATCAGGGCTTAAGAACTTTAATTCTATTTCACAATTTAATTCCTATTTAAATGTTTTTTTTATATCGCCTTGTGTCTCTTTTCTTAATGTCTTCCATGTCTTACGTGAAGCACTTTGAATTGCCTTATTGAAAGGTGCTAACTTGCCTTTCCTCTCAACTACACAAACAATAAGCTCAGGCTTTGGTTAGCACAGGCTTTCTTGTTTGTAGCAGTAAAAACAAGCTCAACCACTGCACCCTTTTGTAAGTACAGTGAATAAGCAGTCAATGGCATTATGTTGCAGTTTAGCCCATCATTGCACAATGGACGTTTTGATAACAGTGCAATGGATACAGCTGTGGATTTAGACAGTATTAACGTTAGCTTAACTCTAATTGAGTTAAGAAATTGGGTCACAGTAGGGCAAGTTCAGCCAGTAACAACTTAGTGTCTGTAAACAAGCCTGTTAAATTGATTGCTTTGTCGGTTTTTAGCGAGTGTATTTGAATAATGTTTAATGGACTGGTTGCATTTGCAAGTATATCGTATCCTTGGCGGATATTTGTATTTCTATCTTATGCTGTGGTTGCTGTTTCAATTTTTAAGTTTCATCATCTCAGGTAGTGATCAGTTGTCAGCCCTCGCCCAGCAACTCACCAGCCACCAGCAACTTACATGGCTTCAAATTGTCCGTTTGCTATTTTGTTTCCGAATGTTTACGGAGACGTAAGAAATACCAATACTTCCTGGCATTTTGCGTCGTCTCCTGAGCACCTCAGCTAATCGTTAAGGGATTTACAACTGCAATGTTGCAAATAACCTACGTGCTACAAAGCTGAAACTAAATGTACAGATCAATGCTACTTAAAAGCTTCTGACAACTAGTGCCACTGCAGATATAACCACACACTCCCTAAGCTGCTCCAAAGAAAAGCTGTCAAAATCCAAGAAAGTCTTTCAACTGAATTAAAATGTGCCCTTATTCACGCTGCAATTTTGAAACAAAGTACCTGCTACAGATCAGTAAGTGAAGACACAAAGTATTCTTAAATCTCTGGATCTGAATCCCCAGAGTTCCCCTGTTGCTTTTCCAACGTCAGATCAAATCGCATCGGATCGCATATCCCTGTAACACATTTTGCAGACTTGTAGATGTACAGTATATATCATCACATGATTTTGAATCCGACCGAACTGGCTCATCTTCAAAGAGTTACATCTCGAGGAATTTACTGAAACGCGAAAAAGATCTAAGACCCCCCCCCCAACCCTTCATAAGCAGCTACAATTCAAGCTAAAAGGCTTCTCCCTCTCCTCCTTCCTCTTTCATTACTAAGTCTCATTACTGTGGCTGTTCTCCTTGTTCACACTTCCCTCCATCACCACCAATCTGAATCTGAGGACATCAAAGGAGAGCACAGACACAACGTGTTAACCCATAGGCTTCGTCATGAGTACTAAGGACTACAAAATGAAAGGAAAAAAACAAAACAGAGGTCTGCTGACCTATGATCCTCTTACGCTATTGTACTTTGGCTTAAAAAGAAACCACGCAAAATGCAGACGTCATCTTCAATGACAGCTTGTGTCAAAGCACATTTCTCTCCTTATCTGCAAGTAAAATCCGTGCATCTCTCATTCTGGCTTTTATATCTGCTGTCTTTGATTTCCTCAGTGTAGGAAAAGAAAACCCTGATTACAGACAACAGCAATTGAGATTACAACAAATGAATGCTTTGGATCTGATGGAGACCTGCAGATAGTTCCTTGAGAGTACACAGCGCCCCCCTGGATGGCAGTAGGCTCCACAGGGTAGCGTTTTCTTTTATGCCTTATTGATGTAAATCCTCTTGGGTGATTTGGAGGTGTGAGTCAGCTCTGGCCTGGGCCACTATGGTTTACGGGATTACTTTACTTTCTGAAACATTTGACCTACATACCAAAATTATATTGCAAAGAAGGAAGAATTCTTGTCGTTACTGTAAAAGTAAGAAAGCACACGTTGGGAAGTGACATAAAATGTGGACACAAATTCTATTTTCTTAGAAAAACAACATTCCATATTATTAGCTGTGTTGAGTCTTGTAAGTTAGTTTTAAACATGATTAACAGTATGGTCTGCTGTGTTGGGGCATAGTATAATATACAGTATAATGTGATCAATAATCCTCTTTCTCTTGTGGTTCCTTTGTGATCCGCAAAGGAAACTGCATGTCTCAGTCAACATGTAAATAAATAAGTGAATTAATAGCGCCGCAAACAGCAGAGATAGAAAATCTTGAAGCAGTGGCAAGCAAAAGGAGAAGGAAACTGCAAGTCCTCTTCTGTTTCATTTTCTCTACGGGTTTCTGCCTTCCTGAGTTATGTGGCCTGGAAACGTGTAGGTGTGCTGGACTGACTTTGAGTAACAAAAGACAGGGAGAAAACATGCGGACCAACATTGTTTTACATCAAGAAACACTTGTTTTGTATGTTTTTCCTTGAGCGAGAATAAAGCTGTTAGAGCAACAGGGTTCTTTGTTAAACTTCCTATCTATTATGAGTACGAAATGTGTTTCTACAGTCGCTGCATGTGTACAGTATATGTGTCTGTGAAGCTTGTGTGGGTGTGTGTTTGTATACACAATAGACTACAACTGGCCCTTTTTTCCATCTCCTTCTGAAATCCACACGGCTGAGCCTCAGCGGACACAGCTTTTTCCCTGGCTTTCATCCCATTGTCTTAAAGGAGAAAGGACTTGCTACACATCCTCAACCAGCTGGGTGGCTCTATAGTGTGCTGATAACACAGGAGAAACAAAACAGGGGGGGGAGGTAGGGTGACAGTGTATTACTCACTGGTGGAGTGAATCTGTGAATCAGCGTGGTTGGCCTGTAGTGCAGGATGGGCAGCCTGGGTAAGGGCAGGGCAGCAGATCCAGACTAAAACAAATACGATAGCAAAAACAAGTACAGTCCCAATCATTCTCTTTTTTTCCTTTTTCTTCTTCTTCTACTACTCTGCTGCCTGCTGACTCTTCTCATCAGATGAACTGGGCATGCATCATCCCTGTCCTCCCAGTTTTTGTTAGGCACGTATTACCCAAAAAATCTTCTACAGTGTTGTGTCGACGTGATGTGCTGGCTACCATATCAAGAGTTTAGTTAGGAAAGAAACAAACATTTTTAGACAACGTTCAGATCCCTGGTTATAAGAGGAGTTCAAAGTTCATAATATCACTCTGGATCCTCCTCTTTTTCCCCTGAGGTCTCTGATTGCGGAAGGATTTCTTCTTCCTCTATAACCGGCACCTCTTCCCTTTCATCAAGGCCGTCAATCAACTCCTCCTCTTTGCTTGCTTGCTCCTCCTCTTCCTCATGAATGGCTGTGATTGGATCGGTGGGGCTGCCGATGCAGTTCGGGTCCCCTCTCTCAGCCTCTTCCTTGGCCTCTGCAGCAATGACTCTTTTCCACATTTCATGGTTTTCCAGAATATGCTGTGTTATCTGGCAAAACACTTTCCCCCTGCTCACCTTTTTGGTTTCTCTTTGCTCTGTCAGACACAAATCAACAGTTAGACAAAATCCTGGAAGAAATGGCCATGACGTTGCTTTCTTGCCAAGAGTTAGATGAACAGATTTTTTACACTCCGATGTCAGCACTATAAATATAAATATGAAGCTACAGCCAGGAGTCTGTTAACAGCTTATCATTAAGAGTGCAAACGAGGTGAAACAGCTTGATTGACTGTCCAAAGTTTGAAAAATTAGCCAACAGCACATTAAGACCCTCTAATCAACAATTCTATCTCGTTAGTCTAATACATGCAAACACGTTAATGTTCTGATCGTCACCTGGCAACCTCACATTGACAACAAGACTACAAGAAGTTGTTGTTTCTTACAGATTAAAGAAACAAATTTGATTAATTTTTATTGTTGAGTTTTAGCGGCGCTTTTCTTTTTAACCCTTGAACAGGTTTAGGTTTGCTGTTTCCCTCTGTTTCCTGTCTTTATGCTAAACTAAGCTAAGCTAACCGTCTCCTGGCTTTAGCATCATATTATCACAGAAAGATATGAGTTGTATCAATCTTTGAATCCAAATCTCGGGAAGAAAGCGAATAAGTGTATTCCCCAAAATGTAAAATTGTTAATTTCATTCAAATGGGTCATTCAGTATGTTAGCTATATAACAACCATTGCCAGTTTCATACTTAGAATCTCTTTTGGCATTATTTCCAAGTATATACACAGTTGAATGAAGCGGCTCAAGTGGTGCAATCGGCATTCGATAAATGTAAATAATTTCTATTTTAAAAAGATGACAGAGACAGATCTGTGAGATATTTTCTGTAACATTGATTATTAAAGAGGTTGTCATACGGGAGGTATCGGAACTTGTTGATGTGTCCTCATCTGCCACATCCTCCTCTTCTGTATCATGTCCCTCCTTCGTGTCTTCTGGCTCCGTCTCTCCCTCAGGTGGGTCAACCCAGCGTCCCGGCATAAGAGCAGCAGAGTCATAGGATGAGCACAGAGGTCCCACTATGTGAGTGATGAATGACTCCTGTAGTTTAGCGAGCTGCGGAGCGGAGCGGTCCATGAACGGGCTGATGGGAAGGCCCAGGTTTGCTTCTTCGTCACCCTGGAGGGGTTAAAACATGGCAAATATGTGAGAAGCACGGAAATGATAAACTGTCAATGTGCTGGAAAACGGTACAAACAACATTTTTCTCTACTGCCCTATATTTGTATAGTTTCAAGACGAAAAAAGCTATAGACTTGAAGTTAATCATGTAGTCTTTTCAATCAAATGAATATCACTTCTTATCAATTCATAATATTTGAATTCAAACTTTGCAAACCGTCTTCAAATAGAATAAAGTAGAGAAAACAGGAGTTTTACCCACTGCAGACCTAATAAATGCAACATTTGGTACAATTACTAGTCGGGGGGAGAGAGAGGGAATTGTTTATCACAACCAGAAATTGCTAATACTTTGAATGTTAAAGTGGTGCAGGCGCCCATCTGCAGTAGTCTCTAACAAAATCATCATAATCCAATCCAGCAGGCAAGTCTTCTGACTATTGTATTTCTGTTCAAAGGGAACATACAGTCGCACATATAAAGCACTTGCTGAGGGGTCCCCGAGCAAATAAGTAAATCACTATCATCTGCAGAGGTGCTGTTATGCAGTTGACCCGGACCTCGCTGTGGAGGATGTGAGCAAAAAGATGAATTGCCTCTTGGGAGCAATGGAACATGACAATTACATCTCTATCCCTATAAGCATTTTCATACATTTCCAGATTCTGATGACAGTTTGTGGGTTGTTGGTCACTGTCGATCAAATCTGATCAAACCACAGTCATGATTTAGCAGATACACATACCGTAAGATGTTTTTTTCCAGCCACAACGCTAGTATTGTTTTCAGCTGGTGAGTCTGTGTGTGTCATCATGGCAAGATGTGGTCCTACACGATTTTTCTTAAGGGGGCCAAGCAATCGTAGTGCTCCGAACAGCACATGCTCCGAACAGCCTTATTCTTGGCTAGTGCTCCTTGCTTTCATTGGTTGCCCCCTGACAGCCCTAAAAGCAGCAGTACTCGAAGCCAAACAATCGTCCCCTTACGGCCACGCCTCGAACGGACAACGCACTAGTTTGTCTAAATGCTAATAACTTGAAAGTAAGATTTTGAGGGAGATTTATAAGCATACTTGTTCGTAGAACTCGTTGACAATCCCCTCTGTCCACTGCAGGTGCAGCTCCTTGCACTTCAGCGGCCCGTTAACATCAGCCAGCTTGATGCACATCTGGCACACCAGCAATCGGTCGTTTTCGTTGGTCCAATCAATACCAGTCACCCCTTCATCACCCACCTGCAGATGTGCACAGGAAGGTTTGTGTAAAGAAGAAACACACAGCTATGGATTGTCTAGAATTCCGCACTGATTGGTTGTCAGCTTTACTTCTGGACTAAAATACTTTTTTTTGTTACAGGAACAGAACAAATTGACAAACAGGAGCTGAGAACAGACAATCACTGCAGATAGATAAAGGATGCTACATTTTTTTGTTTTACGTTTTATTATAGAAATCTTTACCTTTGCATTAAACTCTGCCAGGAAGTCAAAGTGCTTTTTGAGGTCGGTGGCCAGAATGGCTTCAATGACTAAGAAGCGGAAGCGCTTGAACTCCACATGTTCAAGGTTAGCTAGGAAGTTATACTCAGGTCGAGACATGAAGAGGTTCCACGCTGAAGCTGCATGGTGATTTTCCAAGACTGAACGATCATTGTACAGAAGAGCCTACAATGGAAGGACAGAGGAGAAAATTACATGAATATACAGTCTTGGAATTTAAGATGTAAGCTGCTATGTGTTTCACCAAAGTTGTTTTGGTATTGGTTGTGAATTTCTGTCTTACACTGCAAAATACAAATACTCTTCTTCATATCATCTAAACTGAGCTCTTATTGTAAAGATGTATGCTGCTGCACTCATTTACCTGTGGTGCACTAGTAGCTACTAGAAAGGCGTTGGTTCTTCCAGGATGGTCATAATCGTGCATGGCGGCAGCTACATACAGGGCCATGAGCTCCAGGCCAGGGATAAGGCTAGCCAGGGAGCCATAGCCGTCCTCCAGCACAGAGTTCATCTTGGACACAAGGAAGCTTGTGGCACCAGCGTTAATGCCATTCTCTGAGTCTACTGGCGACAAACAAAACACAGCACACTCCCCAGTCACTGATGGTGATCTTTGCGCAAATACTGCCACCTCATTGGCTGCTGTACTGTTCTGTATTGTTTTGTATTGTACTGTACTGTATTGTTCTGTTGGACTTATTCAGGAACAAAACATTCAGCATGTTGACTCATTACATCTACATTATCTATCAACAGGATGTCGTTGACTATAAAATGAGCCAAGTGACAAAACAATATCATGCCACAACAGGTGAGAATAATAAAAATAAATAGGAGGTATGCTATCACACTATACTTGTGACTTTGTAAATGAACACAAACATGAGAACAATTCAACTTTTTCGTTAGTTTTTAAAGCTTCTTCTGTGAATGTGTGTGAATATGACTTCTGTATTACATGTTTTATTGGGACACAAGAGTTAACAAGCAACTGAGCCTCCCCACTCAATTACAGTATCACAAAAAGGGGCAGAGAAAACGCACAAATTTGACAAATCAACATGAGGTTGGATTTCTTATTCTTTTTATCTAATTGTTTTTGGGGGCACTTTATGACTTTATCAGATAGTGATAACAGAGAGGGATGACAAAATCAGGGACATTGTAATTCATGTTCAGCATCTTAATTCCTGAACCACAGGGGTGAACTGAGAGTGGATTTGTTTGATATTGACAGAGAACTAATACATCCTTGATTGACATCACTCCAGTCAATCAAAATGTCGCTCCTAAAGTCTAAGAGTGGAACATTCTTGCAGGTAGGTATAAGGGGACTGGACTAGGACTGCAGATGGAAATTAGCTAGTAGCTAAATCTGGTAGAAAGCATAGTTTTTTCTTTTTCTTAACCTGTATGTATCAACCATCCTCACCAGTGTGTATCCCATTCTCAGTCAGCAGGGTGGGTAGGCCTGGTACAGGCTGAGTGGTGAGGTACCAAACAGCATGTAACACGTCAGTGGCATGGATGCGGTTGTGATCTGGGGAGAGTAAGATAAAATGCTTATTCACACCAGTGGAGGGCAGTAAGACCTTTGTATTCAAATTCCAGCTGGAGCGATAATAAACATTCTTTTTGTGTATGTTATTTTTTTAAATTCTGAAGTGTAACACTATCAAACTGGAAGAAAATAAATAAACAACTAAAGCCCCTTCCAGACAAGGAATATAACATTGCCGAAGCCTTCTGCCTTTTAAAATAGATCTATTTTATGGGAAAGTTTCATGTCGACCCATGTTTAAATATGAGTTAACACAAAATGGACAATAGAGACAATGCTCCTATGTTATTTGGAATGCGGCTCAGGACTAGGCAATAGATGTTAATAGCAGTAAATGTATAGGACAAAAGGCTGTTTACTTGGTATCTCATCTGGCTGAGGGAGAGCAAACCAGACATTTTTACAAAACGTAGAATGTCCCCCTGAAACTGTGTTAATAAGTATACAACTGAATATAACTACAGTATAAAACATTAGAAACATAATTTTTAATTGTTCTTTCTTGGAAACTTGATATTTCTGACAACCGTGAACAATCAGATCATGATATAATACTAAGTCAGAAAGTGGGCCTGGTGTTTTATTACTATGACAATACAATGCATCCCCCTTGTGGCAGATAAAGGTAATGCTGCGGTATCAATACTTTACTTGAAGAATTTGATAAAAATGGAGATCTTCTACTCACAAGGAATGACCCTGTATCCGTTCTCCAAAGCATGGAAGTAGTTCATGAACTCTTGTACAGGAATTCTGAAGGTCTCAAATAGACCTGCGTCCTCAAAGAGCTTATAGGAAACCTGGGATATAACATGAGGAAAACACACTGTGAGTGATATATCTAATCTTTGTAGAGGTTCGGATGTAAAGCTGGGTCTGGTCACTTCCTGTTTCAGAGCACACCTTTTCTTAAAGAAAGGTCTAGTATCTGCTAACACAAAATTGTTTCTGGAACTGATGACATCTTGGCGAACAATGCATGTCTGATTTTTCCTTTCACTTGCTAGAGTTGTTGTGGCTGCAAGCGTGAAATGCAAATCCAGTCTTTCCATCGCCTGCACAGCTGACATCACTACCACATTAAGCTTCTAATTACATACATGTGAACATTTCTATCAATACGAGATCATTTTGATAGAAACAGTATTGATGTGTTTTCATTACATAAATGTCACCTGGGTTTCAACATTTCCTCACTAATTAGTGTTTACCTGACTGAGGATGCAGCCTGTCTTGCCATGAGTCTTCTCCACAAGACTGAAAATGGGAAAGTTCCAATTGTTGAGTTGACTCATCAGAGGCTCCAGCGCTGGCAATGCTAAAGGCTCTGCGGCCAAGGTTGGTTTGTCCTATCAGGTAGGAGGAGCGGTCAGAAAGATACTTGCAAGTACAGTAAAATAACCTTTATGTTACCACAGTTTGATGCTCAACAACAGACTCGTAGATATACATTATTAGACTGCACCGCTGCTTGGTTTTCTAGCATTTTGCAAAAGCATTTTCAAAAATATATGATTTTGAAGCACATTAAAGCACATAAAAGATAATAGATTATTTTTTCCCCGTTACCAAATGAAGCCTCTCTGATTGCCTACTACCTCTGGTGATGGCAGGAGTGGGTGAAGAACGATGCCCTCTGCCAGATACTCCCTGCAACCTTCCCTTGCTTCAGGCAGCTTCTTGCCTCCCTCTCCCTCCTCTTCATTCTGTGCAAAGTCACTGCTGTCACTGTGGTTGGTCTCATAGGTGCTGTCGTAGGTGCTGTCATAATCCGAAGAAGCTATGGCACGCTCATCTGGGGAGACATTACATTGTTAGACGTGCTATTTAATGTAACCATGTGACGGTTAAACAAAGATACAATGAGGGCAGTTAAGATGGAAGAATAGTCTATATTTATCAACCAGGTTAGATTCTGGAAGCATTTTCTTGTACATCACACTTATAGGCTGCTATCATAAGCTGTAGTTGTTACCCGTTTACCTGGATGGGGTATTCTGTCCCCTTTGTCGACAGATTCTACCCTGTGGTTTAGTCGATTGTTGAACGGCCTGCCACAGCTGATGGAAAGAGAGCAGAACAACACCAACCCATTTAGAGGATAAGCTAGTCAATCCGGATCATTCTCTCTCATCTGATAATCAAAACAAGTCCTGTCCCACTAGCATAAACTGATGATTGACTAATTTCCCTAATTTTCTTGCAAATACTCATACACAACTTGAACTGTCTATATTTATAACTGCTCATCAAAGTGTAGAAAGTGGAGAATTAATCCAGTGTGCGATCGCATGTATGTTACCTGCCGCAGAGTGATGGAGGCCGCCAGTAAGGGGTGGTGGAGCTCGGAGCACTCTGACTGTGAGTCAAGGCTCTGTGGTGGCTCTTGTGGGCCACAGAGCCAGGGGTTCGCTCTGTCTGGAGCCCAGACAGCTCAGGAAGCTGCACTGAACATGTTTTGATGGTGGGGCTTGAGACAGGCGTGCCCTGGTTGGGAGGAGATGGGCACGGAGAGCCCAGAGGTGATACGTTGGAGGGGGGGAAACCTGAGAAAGACAGCGTTTCAGTCTTTGTGTGATTTGCTCTTGATACTAGGATTCATCTATCTTTGAACTATGTGCAGTGAATAGCCAAGCTGAGATGAATTTTCGTAAAAATGGTTTCCAATTTAAAACTAGTGTAAACAAGGATGTCTTTTACCCATGTAACATACTCAACGTACTCAACTTGTCTCAGTGTGTTAAGTAGATTAGCGCACCCACACACACACACACACACACACACACACACACGCACACACACCTGGACTTCCCAGTGGTTTGCTGTAGAGGTGGTTGGAGGTGACAGAGGGAGCACAGGAGGCAGACATGGAGCGACTCTTTGAGATGGTCATCATCACTGAGTTGTTCCATGATTCACTGATTTAATGTAAGAAAACCAGCACTGTTACAGTTAAAAAAAATACTGTAGTCCGGTTGATTGTAGTGCGTGAGTGAGTGAGAATCACCTGTCTGTGGTGTGTTTGATGCTGGCTGAGCGGTCTCGGCGTACAGGGCCCGGCTCTAAGGTAGGCAGCCCTGTAGCTGAGGTGGTCGTGGTCCAAGTTGACGAGATTCTCCTCAGCAAACCTGGGGGCAGACTCCGTCTTATACGCTGTAATAAAGATAAACAAACACATGTTTGCAATCAGAAGCTACTAATATTTGCACCTTTTTGGAAACTACAAAGATATGGCCTTGTCTGTTTGTTTGTATGAAAAGTATATGTTGTGATACATGTATGTGGAACTAATGTTGAACATTTATTTGAGTACATTTTGAGTAAATTTCTTACTTGCTGTCTTTTCACATCTGCTCCAATTCCTTCATATACATCAGGATTTTTTGTAATGATTAGAACTCTTGATAATCCTCCACTTGTTTATAATTCACAAAAATCTCAATGTTGTGTCACAGTAGGATGATTTGCAACAGTTTCATAGTATTTATAAAGCAAATACTGTTAATGTGACAGAATTCTTATATACAGTACATCACAATATATACTGCAATGGTGTAATTATACATCATTTTTTCCAAAATAATTAAAGTCTGACCTTGTCTCATCTTCTAAACAAGAATGTTTTGAGAACGTCAGGCAAGGTTGACAAAGAGTAACATTTACTCTCAGACCATAAACAAGCCAAAAATACCCTAAAGTCACACACAGTGTGCACAGCAAGAGACTAAATAGAACATCAGGAAGAGAAAGGCAGATACAGTAGCTCACAAATATTGCTCTACTGAGTACGTAAAGTGACATCTCAGCCTCGGGAACATGTTTTAACAAATAAACAGAGCTTTATTGTCCTACAGAAACGTAAAGACATCAAACTACAAGGATGCCATATTTGTTCTTCCAGTCCATTCCTGCTTTTTAAAAGTATGTAAAAGACTGAATGGTAAGTAGAAAAGAGGTGCTTGTTTCCCCTGTGGTGTCAATATATCCAATTTCTCTCTCTCACACACTCACACACACACAGGACTATAGAGGGCAGCAGAGGATTTAACTTCTTCTACTGAAGGAAAGCATGTCCATCCCTCTTGGTATGTTCACTTCTTAGGCACATGACACATGACCTCATAGTGGTCTGTGGTAAACCTCCCTCCTGTAGTTAAGAAAAGCTAATCAAAGCCATCAATTACTATGTCAAAGAAACACATGTTGTTTAATTACTGTGAACATGCATGTCTGCTTTTGCCATTGTGAATTGTATAACTGTGAGGGAATAAAGCTTTAAGTGCAGATCTGAAACATCTGCTCTGCATTATCATGCAATAATGTTGCTGACAATCAGAAGACTTGATGTTGGCGGTGATGGATTGTTGCGTGTCATCTTGTATGTTTTCACATGAAGCCTCTTTATTTTCTTACTGTAGCAAAATAAATATAAATCACTATGGTACGCTGCGGGAAATGTCTGGCTGTAATATGAGATGTTTTAAAGACAAATCTGTGCACCAGAAGTGTGGTTACATTTGTAGGAGGTGCAATAAACTTGACAAATAGCCAGAACTGTTGGAGTTAAATTAGGTGGAAGCCAAATAGTTCCCTGGATTTAATAAGAAATGAAACTTTGTTTTGCTGCCCCGTTAACCTACGTCAAAACGAGAGAAACAAATGCTCCTCAGTCATCAACAATTCTGAAATGTCTGTCCTCCAGAGCTACACAACAGGGCAGCACGAGTAAGCTGAATCACCAACTTTAACCATTGCTTTATGCAGACTCACGAATCTCCAATGAGCTAAAACGAGACAGTATCTCATTGAGTTTCACTACATGGGTCGAGCATTTGAGTGCAACCAGGCAGTTTTATAGCTGCTTGTCACTTTCCTGGTGGGCTATCCTGCATTGCATCACACGCTTTATTTAGTTCCCTCGCCTCCTTAAGTGAACGCACATATTTTGAAGCACTGGCCTTGTAAAACATTAAAAAGCCCTCTGGAAGCCCGTGCGTCACACTACGCCAGCAGTGACGGAGGAAATGGAGGTGATGACTGCAGGAAGAGCTACACCAGACCATACGCACAAGTGTTTATTGAGATGTTCTGCAGCATACAACAAAACTTAACTTTGATACAACCGTGTCTGTTTCAAATAAACACACGTCTGGTAACACATCTAGCTTCACTAATTCAGAGATATTTTTGTTTGTAATATTTTATGACGGTGAACATTATTTTAGTCTAAAGGGGAACTTCAATGATTTTACACATCAAGGTCTGTTTATAATTCATTGGCAGTACTGCTACATATAGAAAAATGGTTGTCTTTTGTGGCTCCGGGAGGAGCTGCATGAAATCTGAACAAGGGTTTGAACACTACAAGAGTCCGGGGGTGTTGAGTTAAAAAGATATGAGCATACCAGACCTCTGCAGCTCCCTCCTCATTTCTGCTTTAGCTGCTACGACCATAACACCCCCGAATTTTCAACGGAACTGTCAGCGGTTGAGATGCATTACACACGTAATGTAGGCGCAAGGTATTGACAAGGAAGGAGATCGCATACAATGAAAAAGAGATATCTCTGGTTGTGCTGCATTGATTTTTATATTTTTCTTGTCAAATGTGAGTCTCACTATGTCCTTGAGGTGCAACACTAAATCTGTGGAGTACTCTTTTCAAATTAAGTGATATCTAATTGTGATGAATTATAAGCAGCTCAACCAAAAAATGATTACTACTTCTTAGAAAATACAGTAGAGAGGCTTGGGGAGGTAAGAGCATATTTGTTATTGCACAAGAACATAAAAGCTAACATTTCTTGCTTCTTTCTAATCTTTTTATTCATATTGTGACGCCTCAGATTTCTTTGGGGAACATTTGGGGGATTCTGACCCTCAGGTTGGAAAATGAATCAGCTTTATACAACAGACCAGAGATGTGATTGAGCACAATTACAGTAATTCCTACAATCAGTCTTCAGTCATTCTGGGTGGCCAATCAATGCTTCTTATTAGCTGGTGAGTAAACTTCCAATTCAAATCCTTATATCATTGAAATTTGAAATTGGGGTTCAGCCATTGGAAATGATCTCAAACACCTAACCAAAGACACAGAAATGAAAAAAAACACATTAAACATTTACCTTTGGAATGGCCAGTCTCTCTGCTTTGTCTGGCCCCTCCTCAGAGTCAGAGCAGGTGTGTGTGTCTGCAGGGATGCGAAGCCGGTGGAGCGGCTGCAGGCTGATCTGGGTGCTGAGGAGGTTGCTGACGGCCTTCAGACAGCTACAGGTGTTAGGGGGCAGCGAGGGGTCTGCCAGCAGGTCTGAGATCAGACCGTGGGCCTCGCCCATCACCGCGATGTCCACTACCACGCTCGTGCTCGACTGGAGAAGAGAGGAAGAGATAGAGAATGAGATAATCATTATTTGTTCATCTTCTCTAGTGTAATGCAATGGCGATGCGGTGAACACACGTCACACCACACTGACGCACACAGCGTCTTTATCTTCATACCTGAGCGAGAACGAGGATGTGTTTGTGTGTGTGCTGTAGATGGCACATGTACTGTGTGTGTGTGTGTGTGTGTGTGTGTGTGAGCATCTGTCTTTATAATAAATTAAACATGTTATGGTCCCAGAAGGAACACACTAGAAAATGTGATAGAAAATAAAGCTAGTAGCATGATGGCTTCATGTGGTGTAGAGGTTAGTGACAGTGTTAAACATATCATAGCCATAAAAACATAATTAATAGACATCCTAACACACTCCACTCCCACGCCAACCCCCCACTGCCTACATTTAGCTGTCACTGATTCATCATATTGACTGATAAGCCCAAAGGTTCATCTATGTCAAAGGTCAACCATGTTAGGTTTCTGTAATGGATTCCGACATTAATGTCACAATTTGCTAATCAGCTCCTCTTTAGCTTATAATCAGTTTTCAGACACTGTGAAACGCATGTATCCACACTCACATATACGTGTACAGTATATTTAAGAGCATGCAAGCAACATTTAGCATTTGTAATTAGCAAAGTTAATCCATATGAATGCGGCAAAAGCTAAAGAACGCATGAAAAAGGAGTAGTTGATTCTGTAGATTTTGGATGTAACTCACACATCTTGCAAAAATGCAATCATGGAAAACTTTGTGTTTGATAGTATAAGGATGATTTTGTTAACAGTCTAAAAAGTTAAAATCAGTAATAATGAATGGACCCATGTTTATGTGTCACAGTTGTCAGCAATTACTTAAATTGTGTTTTTAGGATGTATTACAACACATTGCAACCTATTTTCATCAACTTGCACTGATTGTTTTTTAAGTCACAAAGGGACACAATTCAAAAAACGGATTAACGTTGGATACAGTGAACTACACAACTAGTGATTTGAGGTGTGTCGATAGTTAACCTTAACCCAGCCAACCAAACAAAACAAAAATACTTCTTTGACACTAAAAACAGAAATTCAATTACAAAAAAATGTTTTCTTTTCACATTTCTGCTGCAACTTCTGTGGAACAATTAAAGGAAAATGCACCATTTGGTAACATAGAAGAGGACTGTGCACTGCAGAAAGAGATGGAGGTGAGTGAACTTTGTAAGAGTCAGCTAAGCTGTGTCTCCCCACTGAACCCTGGATGAACTGTGTTATAAAACAATACTGTCAAACTCGTGGCTGATCACACAGTTCTGTTCACTTTCCATTCTTCTTAGACATTTTTTCAAAGCAGTGTTTCTCCCACTTACGCCTGTGATGTTGACACTTCAAGATACAATCATAAAGCTTTGTGAATGTTTAAAATAATCTTGGGAATGACTGGCAGTGACAAGACCAGAAAGCTAAAGTTTTACTACAGTGATTGGCAACGTCTTTCTTCAGCCGAACACTAGCGGTGGATATTGATTGTCGATACAAGTGATGAAACAATACCCAAGTCTTTGATAACTTACATTAAGACATATTAAGACATTTTTTATTTGAGAAAAGAAAGAAATATACATCTCAGAAGATAAATATTGTCCCAAGACAAGCAACAGTACAAGAACAGGACAAAAATAAAGTTCCTCTGCCTCTTTTTAATGCTCTTAATGGAATTTGCAAGATTCCACTGCACCAGAAGAAAAACAACCAATGAGAGCTAAGGAGTCTCTTACAAAGTGACACAAAGTTATTCTTATTAAAGTTGCCAACAGTAGCTTTAAACCAGGAACTATCTGATCTAAAAATATGTAAACAAGATTACAAACACATTTGATGCCAGTTTTCAGTACTTGGCAGTTTTCCTCAGCGCTACCGACACATTTTAGTTGGTTCAATATCTAACAACCAGGATGTGTGTTCATGCCTCAAGTTTAAGGTGCGCTTGTATTTGGATAATATAGATGTAACTGTCTCTACATTGACAGCTTGAGGAAAGCAAATCGCAAACAAAAATAAAATGCTCTAAATGTAAAATGAAAAAGTTTTGAAATAGAAATGATAGGATAGCTCACGGAACAATGGCAGGGTGGGTTTAAAAGAGAGTCAAACTAGACGTCATGTTTTGTCATCTTCCAATCCTGCTCTCCTCCTGCATCCTTCTCTCCCCCACTGTGCCAACACATGAAGCAAATAAGCTCACGTGATCACTCCATCCATAAGCCTTCACTCTCCCATCTGCCTGCCTCCCCAGGCTACTAGGCTTGGCGACTAGCAGCAACCTCTGCTTTTTGGCTCTCTGCTTGTATCTGTGCCTTTTTTACTTTTTATGTCTCACTTAACTCACGCTATCACTTTTCTGTACGTATATCTGTCTCTGCAATTACTCTAAGGTAAAAAAAAAAAGTGCAGGTGGAGTAAACTGGAAAACATAAACTGTAACCACCCTTCTGTTTTAAAACAAAGCGACAGATGACTCATTATATGCTTCCTTAAACAGATTGTATTAGCTCTTCAAACATGTCACAGATCAGAGCTGTGATGTGATGAGTAAATGCATCAAGCACCTAGGAAGATAGTTTCCAGGAAGAGCGCGTGTCTGTATGTGCGAGTGTGCATGTGTCACCTCAACCTGAACAAAACCCATTAGACCACTCCAGAGCTTTATGACATCCTGCTATTGTGACATTTACCTATTAACTGACAGTAATGGTCTCGGTTCAGCTAATGTCAGGGAGAGAGTGAGATAGAGGGAGCATGACTGTGTGTGTGTGTGTGTGTGTGTGTGTGTGTGTGTGTGTGTGTGTGTTTAGGACACTTTAATCTGTTAGATTTCTGATATTTGAGCATTTACAAAAGAACAAGCCTACGGCATATGTGTACATTTGCAAGCTCATTCAGTGCAACATGCATAAGCATTTGAGCTGATGTAGTGTTACAGAGCACCGTTCTGGTAGAGACACAGTGGAGAGGCAAGGCGAGGAAGAAGGTTATCGATTCCTCCCAGCATAAAGGCCCACAGGAGACAGCAGGCGGAGCGATGGTCAATGAGTAAATCAACAGTGGGAACAGATGAGTGTTGACACACACACACACACACACACACACACACACACACACACACACACACACACACACAGGCATGCGTGTACTAGAATTGGCTTTCAGAGTAATACAGTACATGCTGTGCACAGAAAGATGGGTCATAATCCCTCAACAAATGCAGTGCATTGTAACAGAAGACAATATTAAACCACTGGTATATGATGATGAACACAGATAAGCAAGCTGCCAAGAATAGAACCACTGATTTGGATCTCTAGTCAAAGCCACATGACATCATCAATGTTAAAAGGTAAACGAACATTCATTCAGAGAGAGGTTGTGCATTTAGATGGATACATACAAAATGTGAGCCTTAAAAGTTTGTATACATTACAGAACGACCATAATGTTGAGTCAATATATGTCCGACATCTAAATGAACAGCTTTATAGCAGTTATTGCTGGACTATGTAATCTAAGTAGATTGCATTACATTGTTTTTAAGCCAAGAAAAGTAAGAAAGCAGCAGTGAATGAAATGATTCACCACTATAATATTTTTTCTCTATTAAATTACCTTGATATTTGATCAAAGGCAACCTAGGACAAGAAACTTGAATAAGGAAGTCCGCATATGCACAAAAAACAGATAACGCGACTGGAAGACAACTCACGCATTTAATATTTGGTTTTGATTCCAGTCAACATGCCTGAACCACGCACACTATTGGATTATTCCCTTTGTCTTTGTTATTTTCATGGTGACGTACACTATCACTCCGTTTCTCTCTACCTTTTGCAATTATTATCCTCCAGTTTCCTAGATCCCCTCTTCCTTTTTCTCATACCTGCTTTTTCCACCTTTCTCACTATTTCAGTTTTCCGTCTCTACCCCCATCCCCCAGCCCTCTACTGAGAAACAGTTAGGAGATACGTCGGCAGATCAGGCATAAAGGCAGATGGTGAGAGCAGAGACGGAGCGATAAAGAGCGACAGAGAGAGAAAGAGAGAGAGAGAAAGAGAGAGAGAAAGAAAGAGAGAGAGAGAGAGAGAGAAAGAGAGAGAAAGAGAGAGAGAGAGAGAGCTGAGTCCACGGGCAGGCCATGGCCAGTCAAGTGAAAAAGAGAACAGCTCACTCGAGCAGGCCAGCTGAGCTCCTCCACAGACATATCTACAACAACTGTAAATACAGCACGACAGTGGGGAGCTTCCCATTGTTTCTGTACTACTACACCAGCCGTACAGAAAAAAAATTAAATAAGGAGAAAGCCTTCACACCCCTCGCTGCTTTAATATTAATGCTGAAGCAGTAGTAGCCAAACAAAACATGCCAGAGGCCAAGTTCATGTTCTGGAAACCGGAGGATGATTGCAGAATTGCAAACAGTTGCGGGATTACAAGAGCGTCTTGCAGTAGCAAGGCTATTAATCATTAACAAACATTGATTTGGTAACAATGATGTGGTAAGTATGTGTTTTGGACGGAGTACAGACTAGCTAAGGTGCGTTTTCTGAGCTGGTCAAGATGTATGAACGCCAGACACTACTATTTGTTCGTCAATTTGCAATGAATCTACCTGTCTCTCATCTTCACGATGTGCAGAGGTGGTGCTAACGCAAAATCAATAGATATCGATGGAATTGCTCTTCAAGTTTGAGATGAAGATAGTGAAACTATGCAAACCCTTGTGTTAGTGTGAGGTAACGCATATCTATAAACACATTCACTACTATGACATGCTGCTCAACAAATAGAACAAGAGTGGCACTGAATCTCTCAACAGTGGCTTCACTCTCCTGCCTACGAACACCAGTCTCTCATATGCGTAGTTGACCTAAAAACTCAGGATGCTTAATTTAGACATTGCTTCAAGTTGTCCTATTTAAACAATCTCATCATCACTGATTAAATGGCTCTCCTTTTCCTGCACATGTGCACACACACACACACACACACACACACACACACACACACACACACACACACACACACACACACACACACACATGTACATAGAGCACATACACTCAGACTAAAGGGGAGAGACTCCAGTTAAGCCAATACTGCACCTGTTTGGGACGGTGTCTATTGTCCTGATGGCATCCCATGATACTTGCTGAGTGCCTTCTCTGCATCCTTTGCGTTTGGTTTAAACACAACTGCTCAATCCTGATCTTGCTATCTAGATTCCTATAGATACGATACAGAAGCGTTATGCTCTCTTTGCTTAGTTAAACCCTAATTCAAATGTCACAGTCGTAAGAATCTCAATCCAAAGCAACTGACATTTCAATAATGTAGTTCACGAACACTTCCTCGCCCTCTCCTCTCCTCTTCTCTGCTGCTTCATGAACCTCCCTCTGTCCTCTCACCCGCCCCTGCCTCTGCATCTGCCAATTGCAAATGTTCACTGGTGGTTCAGGGATGAGAGCAACTGCAGTACACTGAAATCAGTTGTATTGAAAATACCTGGTTGCTCGGCTACATCGGGACAAAGATCAAAGTGACTCGACTATGGACCATAAAATTGTCGTTTGGGGCTCAGTTGGCCACAGTTATACTACGCCCACTACTTGTCAAGTGTTTCCTGTCATAGCAGATGATGCATGACAACCGAGCAGCAAGTAATGTGCATTATCAGAAGAGGGCTTTCTGCATCAGGAAACTGAGGTACATATTGATTCATTAAAAGTCTATTAAGATGGTAGGTTTGTTGTTGGCTAAAGCTGGAGATGAATGTCCAGTATGAGAGACGATTATGGATGATTCAAATATGAAATCTAAACCAATGTAATACATAGGTGGAGAGTATAATATAAAGTCAGTTTGCAATTGTTTGTCTAAAAGATGATGCTGACTTTATAAATCTGGGAGCCTTGGTGCGAAAAGTCAAACCAGCAAAATGGTGAAAACTACTCACTGATGTCACTTTTCCCCCAAAATGTCTATGAATGAACTTGTATTTTAATGATTTTCTTTCTTAACCAAGTATCTGTATTTACCTTGCTTTGCATGCTTATGACAATTTAAAAAATGTATCCTGGCCCAATTAGCGGAGAGGGAGATGTGTGACCAGTTCAACGAGCAGCATCTTGTTTCAGCATTAAAAACAACATGTTTTTACACTTTAAAAACGGGGTAAACTTCATTTTGAATCCCAGAAAGTTTGTGTTTCTTTCATTACAACACGGCTAGGTCAGTGGAATGAGACTAATATTAGTACAAATGTGGCAAAGGTGCAAAAAAACAGTACAGTACACGACTTTACATACAATTACAATTTAGGCCGACTGTATGGCCTATTTATCAACTGCACAACTTTTGGGAAGAAACTCTAGTTAAGGCATTCTGTCCTGCTTCTGCCAGAGGGGAGACGCTGAAAAAGATCCCATGAAGATGAACTTCTTGTTTTCTTTTACTTCGCCATGAGTTGCTTTGACAAACTCTGTCAAAGCAATGAACAAAAAACAAAATATCATCATAGTAATTTTTCTTCATTATGTTTTTTTGTGTCCTTGTTGAGCATCAACGGTTTTACTTTTCCACTGTCAAAATTCAGTCCATCTTGTACCTGGGTGGTTTTGGTCTTGGCTTGAAAGCACTGTCTTATTGTTAAGCTAAAACTAAGCCAAGCTAAGCTAATGTGATACATTGAGTAATATGTTTATATTGACATTTAATCAACTGACTCCCAGTTATGTGAAAGTGTCGTCGCGCTGCTGACACAATTGAAGAACATCCGGCTTTGCTGCTTTAAATTTCAGCAGCTTTAGTTTATTATTTGAGTGAGCTGGCTTAACTGGACAAACACCAAACCAAAACAATGGTGCTTTGTAAAAAAAAACTTGGCCAGCTACTAGTAAAAAATTAAATTTCACTGCTAGAAAGAGCCACAGAGACAAAACAATGACGTGAAGAATGTCAAACATTAAGCTAGCTAAAAAGAGATATTTCCTGCATTAGTACAGAAACCAAACCATGGCAACAAGACCATGGGCATGAAGAATATTCCAAGAGGATGCCAACGTTGTTCTGTTTTTTCTTGATGCGCAAGAAGTAAGCCGTTTGCTAGTCTTACATAGCTAGACCTTTCTCCAAAGTGCTGTGTCAGCGATAAAGAAAGGTCTGGCTACACACATTATAATTCCAGCATAGTCTCACTCCCTGGGCAGTGACCTGCGGGGACTTGATAAGGATGCAAAAGGCACCCTTTAGCGCCTGTATGATATGCGCCAGGCTTTCAGCTAATTCCAACGCAAACCAAGGTAACATTGAAGACTGAAATAGGATCATCTCAAGCTACATGATTTAAAAATGCCATATAATGAAATACTTAACACCTATTTGAGAAAACAAAGTTACTTCATTGCTAAACATAATTACTTAACTAAAAGAGTTCTTCGTACAGATTGGACAGGCAAATCAACTGACGAAAGTAGATGGATATACTGACCTAAACCTTAAAGAGACTAAAAAGACTCACAAATGAATCAAAATGAGTTGCTTAAAAATGTCACGCAGTAACGAGTCAAGTGCTATTCGATTACACAAAGCTTGGAAAAGTTATGCCAAACACACGCACACACCATTCCTCCGCTTTCCCTCAGGGCTGCACTGACCTGAGATCTGCTCAGAGCTCTCTTGAAGTCCCATTCTGGCTGGCACATAATCTGGAGATAGAAGCATACAAACAGAAGCTACGTTCAGAGACCTGTCCACTCTGTGACACAGTACAGCACTACTGTATCTACGCACATTACTTCTCTCCTTTACTTCCTCCTCCCTCCATCCCTCTCTCCGTCAAGCCATCTAAAAATAAAAAAGAGCAGGCGCTGCTGATGAAGAAAAAAAAAAGAACACATCACTCTTAATGCCGGAGGGCTGATCTACATACGGCTCCCCACCACCCTCTATCTGTCCCCTTACCGCAATGATTTTCCATTTTTGTTCAATAAGAGGAAACTGTAATTCAATTTCACAGTCAGACAATGAGTTTCCGAGTGGCTTTTCCTAAATACGACATCTTTGAAGTGTTTGGGCGGCACCTTTAACAGAGCTAGGTTAACCGTTTCCTCCCGTTCCTAGTATTTGTGCATAGCTAGATTAAAACATACTCATCCCAGACCAACCTCTGCACTGCACCCAGAATATAAGAGGGGTAATATAAAGCTGCAATAGACTTGTGACCCAATATGACAGCAAGATGTAACTGTTTGAATTGTTGTTGAATTTGGAAAAATCAAGACAGTGAAGAAATCATGAGTTGTACTCTGACCTCCTTTTCATGTTACAGTTGGTGAAGTGGGGATGAAGAAGACCGAAAAATGTGAAGACCATCTCAGACTAAATTAAAAACGAACTATTGCTGTGTTGGAGCACGTTTACCATTTTGCACTTTAATCTTGATAAATGATGTCAGGTATAGAGGGCTTGACACTAGTAATCATACTGTACCTTACAGCAGAGGTTAATATGGAAGCTGTGGCATCTCAGTTAGGATGCTGTGTTGCATCCACCACTGCGTGAACTATAAATGAGTGTTGTTTTTTTTGCATTACAAAATGTTGTCCAATGGAGTTTCACAATGCACTGAATTAAATTATTTCCATCCCTTGCTTTACAGGGCCTGTCACCACAACTAACAACAAAGGTTGACACAATAATCACCGGCATGCAACATTGTTAAAGTTCTGTTGCTATAAATTTAAAATAATAAATTTATAAAACAAAATAACAAGGTCAATGCAACTATTGTAGTTATGTAATATTTAATATATACACAATTAAAAAACAATATTGTAGTTCTCTTGTATTTTGTCTTTTCAACTGGACATGAAATAAAGACTACCCTTTTCATTCAAATACAACAAGCACTGTTAAATATTCAAACAAACATGAAGTCTTTATGACATTCATGTCATTCATTAAGAGCATAACATTGTATTTACTTTAGCTTTGGCTTTACTGTATTTTCCATTTAATTGAATAAGGTCAATGTGCAGAATGTTTCTTGTGCAAAAATAAATTGGTAATTTCAATGATAGATGTTGCTGAATTTCTGATATTAATGATCATTTTAATAACTAGTCCCAGACAAACTGTAGTGTGCATGCCTGTGTGTGTCTGTGAGTGTGTTGTGTCTGTGGACTGCCCTAGCTGTCATAGTTTGTGGGCTTATGTATAAAATGGCATAAAGTGAGATGACCTGACAGTGCAACTGTCATCCACTGGGGATGACTTTGCATTTTGAATGGCAGATGAGATAATCTGCCTAATACTGTGGATTCATGTTTTATGTGAGCCCCACAGGATGGGAGGGAGGTTGTTTGCACTGTGATGCTGAATCATACTGAACTCCATCATCATATAAAATAATCATACCTCATTTCAGAATACTGTGTGTGCCGTTCCTTTTTGTTGATAATGTTTATTTAAGAGCCATTTAACATGGTGCCATATTAAAGTAATGAGGCAGTTACAGTGCTGCATCATGGCAGAAATCAGACTTGAGAAAACCAAATGAGCCCCTTTTCTCTCTCTCACAAACTGCACACACATTTCAGCTTCCATCATTTACCAAGGCTCTTAAATCCTCCTCTGTGCTCTGCTGTTCCTTAAAGGCCTCCATTACGGCTCAAATACACTTCGCATGTCAAGTCTATAAGAGTCTGGGAAATCACAGAGGCCTAATGCACTTCTGAGCCACATAATCTTTGACAGCTCCATTATTCAGTCTGCTTCTAATTGCACTCATGCAAATTTATGCATCGTTCATATCAGCATAGGTAAAAAAAAAAAAAATGTCAACATCGTGTGCAAGTAAGGGTGGTTCATCTTCTCACACACACACCTGAGTGTTAGATTGCTGGGAAAGTCAGCACATGCATGAACACACTGCAGTCTGCAGGGAGAGCTCTTTCTGTTTAAATGAACACTGCTGGTCTCAGGGCTGTTTCTGCGGCATGCAGAACTTAAATCTGTTGACAAGGAAAAGCCTCCTGCATATGTGATAAGATCCATACTTTTAACAAAAACATAAAAGTTAAAAACCTTTAGATGCATGTAAAAACAACCATGATTCTATATAATTCTCCAGTTATGTCAATTTGTTTTTAAAGGAACGACCGGAATGAACTCAAATCCTCCGTGAATTCACAAAAGTCAACACATTAAAAAATAAAGATGTTCAAGTTCAAAGGAGACTGGATCCCATTCCATCAAGCACTGGACGGACAGCAGTAATGCAACCTTGACAGCGAGGTCATCCGTCCTAACACAGACACCAAAACTCTTTATACCTTAGTATTCACCTGAATTGCATGTATTTTGAATTAAAAAAAAAAAAACACTATATCTCCATCCAGAGAGTATCAGTGTTCCAAACGTTGTCAAACTACAAAACCACAGAACAACTGCCATCTGTTACAAATTAGAGCTTTGTCCTAGAGAGACATTATTTATCAAGCGCTCCCAATTAAAGAAGACAAATAATACAAGAAACACTGTAGTCCATTACTCACATCATAGATTATATATGTTAATCTTATTTTAAATGGCATGTAGTAGTGCATCAATCTCTAATTCATTATGAAATATTATAACAACATGATACCATTCTAAACCACATAATACGTAGCTTTTCTTGGGCAGCCCATTAGGGTTAAGGAAAACATCCTTGTTTTGCATTGTAAAAATTATTACATATGGAAATAAGATGAATTTGTGTATACTTACTACTTTCTTTTCTTGAATTGCTCTTTAAGTACTTTATATGAAATCTATTCTGTCAATGTGAAATAATTTTGGGTTGTTTACAGGACTGACACACATTGTGTGACTGTCCTTAAACCCTGGGTTCTTATTTAAACTAACTAGCAGTGTGTGTGTGTGTGTGTGTGTGTGTGTGTGTGTGTGTGTGTGTATCTGTGCATGTTAGGGCATACTATTACAAAGCCATGCAGGGGTTAATGAGACCAAAGATCTACCGGGATGAATGTATGTGAGTCTATCTTTACGCACACACTCCAACACACTTGCACACACAGGCAAAAATGAACACATTAACACACACTCAGACACATGCTCTCTGTTTGTCACGACTCAGACACTCCAGTCGTGAAGAACCCAGCAAGCCAGACCAAAACCCCTACTGGCCAGCAACTGTTCTTACTAGATCCCAGCCGAAGCAGAAAAAGAGACAGCAGGGAGAGACATAAAACAATGTAGAGTAGAATAAAGAAATAGTTCTTCTATAAATACATTACCATGATGAACTACAGTATAATCTGAATAATTAAAGTGAAAACAATAAAAGATGCCAAAGAGCATATAATGTATCTGAGCTGATATATCATTACCTCATCCCACCTCTTTTCATCTAGTGATATGACAAACGTGTAAAATATGTGAACTGTGCTCCACTGTAATGCATTACATGGGGCAAAGCTGTGTTGCACATGCAAAACGAAACATTTTTCATTATAGCTTACTTGGAAAGTCAAATGTAATGAATGATAACATAATATGTTCAAATTGTCACAATCCAATTCACCAAAAAGTCAATAATACAATAATATTTAGTACTTAGTATTGCCCATATCAGGTGTGAAAAGATAATGTCAAATGATCTGAGGGAACATCTCCCTTCATCTCATCTCATCTTAAACCCAACCACTCTAAATCAAAGCTCCGTGTTGTTGCATTAAGGCTGCCGACAAAGGCTTGTCACAATTTTGTTGTATTCCTTACGGTGAGGTAAAAGCAGATTCATTAGATTGACTGATGATACAGCACATAATGTTTTCTATACCGTCTAGTTTATAGTAACCCCAAGAGTCACTATCTGCCCACTCAACACAGCTTGCCAAAAGGATTTGGCAATGCTGCCTGTGTGTGTTCATATATGTGTGTGTGTTCATATATGTGTGTGTGTGTGTGTGTGTGTGTGTGTGTGTGTGTGTGTGTGTGCATTAGCGGGAGAGAGATGGGCCTCCTGGGCTGGATGATGATGACTCACCCACCCACACACTCACAAACATGAGTTCATACATGCACTCATCACCGTCATCACTCAAAACCATGTTAGCGCGGCTGATGCTAATTGTTTCCAATTAGCGTATCAGGGGTCCTGTCAATGCACTGGGAAACCAGACCACACCAGCGATTGCTTATTGATCTCATTACACGCTCACGTCACTCCATCAAGCAAGCCTTTGTGTGCCTGTGAGCACATGTGAGAGAGACGATTGATGGATCAATCAGAGCTCGATGACTGTGCCCAACGCTACAACTATTTAAAACTACGGAAGGTCCGTATGATCAATACAAAACATGTGAACACAGTTTTATTTCTTGAAACAAGACTAAGAGTCTGCAGCCATGCGAGCAGCTATGTGAGGCAGTACTTTAAATAATAAATGCTAACATGCTCACAATGGCATTGCTAACATGCTGATGTTTAGGTATACAGCACAATTGCCACCATCTTAGTTTAGTGCTAACACATGCTAATTAGCACTAATCATAAAGTGCAATGGAGGCTGATGGGAATGTCATATGGTTTGCTGACATTTAGTCAAAAAACAAAGTATTGAACTGAGTGAAATATCTA